AATTGATCGCTACTCCTTTATAAAAGTTATTAATTATTATGTACTTTTTGATAATAGCGATTAAACATTTTGCGCCCCCTTAGGGATGGCCGCCTAGGCGACCGCCTAATGCGCCTTATAAGTAGCGCCGGCCCTGCATAGAGCAGAACATTTATAAACGAATTTCTAGTAAAAAGATCTTTGCTTAAAAATATAGATCTAAATGTTGAGTCACTGAATGGCTATTTTAGTGGTAGAAACACATTAACTCTCAAAAACACATTGTTATGAATACACTTAGGATTACGATGGGTTTGTCTTATAATTTGCGCTACAACATTTTCAACAATCTTAAATTCAAAAGAAAAATTTTTCTTCTTAGTTCTTAATTTTTAATGTTGGAAGAGATTCCCTCCAACACAATAAAATGTTACGTGTGAACTTGTTATGCGCCATATAGGCCGTTGACTTCGATTTCAGCCTGCCTTTATTTTTGGATTTGCTTCCTTGGCCTTTGTCCAACCAAGAACAAACTACAAGGCAGCAGTTGTTTGGTTTTGGAATTGTCTCTCCTAGAAGAGTGGCTGTCCCCAGCTAACAAGCCCGAGGATTCGAACTCGGGACTTATCGGTTTAGCAACCTTGAGCTTTACCCAGCCTATCCATAATAAAAGTAAACAATTTTATGGAAGAAAGTATATGCGTTATATATATATATATATATATATATATATATATATATATATATATATATATATATATATATATATATATATATATATATATATATATATATATATATATATATATATATATATATATATATATATATATATATATATATATATATATATATATATATATATATATATATATATATATATATATATATATATATATATATATATATATATATATATATATATATATATATATATATGAATAAACATAGTATTTTTTTTATTTCAAATGGTATGTAGCCTAACTTTTGTGTAACCGTTCACTCAACAAACCTGAGGTTTATTTCCATGGTATTGTTTGGTTGAGTCACGTAAACTAAAGAAACTAGTTTAGAAACAAATAAAAATTTGAAATGATTAACAAAAAGAAATAAATTAACATCACTAAACATACATAGTTAATTCATTCACATTTAAATAGAATTTCTGACAAAACAAGGCATGACAAATTTTGATAGTTACACTTTTATTACAATTAAGCTATCTATCTATCTATATAATTCTCTTCTTGGATAGCCTAGAAAACATCATGCTGTATGCGCGCGACTATCAGCCCCCTCTCTTCCTCTCTAGGCATATCCCTACCACCCCCACCCCCACAAGGTTTGGTGAGCTGTGGTTCACGCTAAATGTTTACAATCGTAGAGCCGGGTTTAGTGGGGCAGATAATTTTGTTTGAAACGATTTTAAACTTAGGGGAGGTAACTAAGAGGAGGCTGCTTTCACGTGGGGGTGGGGTGTAGCGTAGGGGTTGGGGGAAAAGAGGGTGGGGGGTTTATCGTCCTTAACGACCTACTGATAGTGTTTTAAAGCAAATATATTCAGTGGTACTGTCGAATTCACAAATTATGAATTTCTGAAAAGTAGAAAATAAAACAACTAAATAGCGGCGTATGATACGCCGCTGGTCGGCTCGTGTGTATTAAAGAAGAAAATAAAAAAAAAAAAAAATGTTGGAAATTTAAGCCCCGCACTACATCAGAGATAATCCTGAAAGAAACACCAACCGTCCTCCCCTATCTCTATGTTTACATTTCAGATTTTAAAACAGGTAAACACCGACGCCCCCGCCAGCACCACATCGTGTCCTTTGCACACTTGCACAAACAGCACATCTCCGGCGTCCAACTCTACTACACCTACACTGCCCGCGTTGGTTTTGGCGGCGTCCACAAAAACCCCAACCACACAGATGTCATTATCGGTCACATTCTCCTCCATCAAATCTGACGCGCGTCGACGCACAACTCCCACGCCGACATTCTCCCCAGCATACACGCACACAGTTAGACCAACACAGTAGAGTCCAGCAACGGGTATGGTAAACATCCCAGTATCGGGATTAAAATGGCCGCCGACGTTACAGGATATGTCGTCAAAGTCTGTCACGATATCACCAGCACAGACTGTCAGTTCATCTAGGATACCAGCACAGAAGCCCAAACTCGTTGGGCGGTATTTTTCTTCTGTAGAGATGAAATATTTTAGGAATTCAGAATCCACGACTACATATACACACGCATGTATATTTAAATTACCGATATATAATATATATATATATATATATATATATATATATATATATATATATATATATTTATATTTATATATATATATATATGTAAGTGTGTGTGTGTGTGTGTGTGTCTGAGAGAGAGATTTTAGTAACGGATGTTGAATTCTATTACATTAAAAAAAATTTATACATTACATTTCGATTATACTATACCAAAAAGGTACTTTATTTTATTTATTATTTCACACTTAAAATTGTTATACGATATATTTTTTATTGTAAGAAATCATAAACTTACCTACAGTGCATAATGCATTTCTTGACTGAAACAAAAATATGACAATATGTGTAATAAAAGTGTCTACGCAAAGGCAATACGAACAGAAAAATTGCGCAAATAGAACCAAACTGTATACAAAATAAATACAAATTATTTTTTTTTCATATTTCGTAGAGAAATGTTTTACTGTTTTACATTTGACATATAGGCCTAAACAGAGTTTCTTCCAGGCATCTCTTCAGGGGGGGAGGGCTCGGCTTATGACTCCGCCCCCCCCCCCCCGAACGAGATGGATTTTATTTAGTAAACATACACTTTTACTAGTGTCCGCACCCCCCTCCCCCCGAAAAATGTCGACCGCCCCCCCCCCCCGAAAACATGTGCCCCCCCCCCCCCCCCCCGGAGAAAAAAGTCTGTAAGAAACGCTGGGCCTAAATATGCTAATTAATCAATTTGAAGACACTACATTTCTTTGTGCACATGTAATGCGCAGTTTTTCCGTCGTGCGGCTTTACGTTACGCATCTTTTTTGTCATCAGATCCACATCTTTAAAAAAAGAAACTGAAAATGTAACTATACTCTCCTCATAGTAGCATATTTCTTACACTTTTATTTTCTTACATTGTACATCAGAGCAAACAGCTGAGACGGCTTTCTTTGTAAATATTAATAAAAATGTCTTTTTAAACTCCGATCACCAAGATCTACTGTATTTACATAATTGTTGCACAGATCATAAATCTAATAACAGTATGTTAGGCTACCGCCAATTTAACCCCATATTACATACTGTTGCCATGTGCCAACGTACTATTGTGATCACTCACAAATCTTTAACTTTACAAATACACATTAAAAGACCCAAAGAATGACTTCACTTACCTGAGCGACTATTCCATCTCTAGATTTAAGACGTTTATTCAACACATCTTGCAAAGTGTCTATTTTAGTGCACCTTTGGCTAAGCACTTGACAAATAGTTCCAGACTGGTATCAAAGAAAACAGAATTTATAAAAATGTCGTGTGTTTTTCTTTAACTGCTCGAGTAATAAAATTTGCATATTCAAACATTTTTTTATAAACAAAAGTAGCAACATCTTTTAAAGTATGGAACGGTGTAGTTGAATGATGGAGCATTCAACTCTTAACCCGAAAGCCTCGAGTTCGAATCCCGGGTTCAAGTCCATACGACTTCCTTGAGCTCATCCCGCTCTAGAAGGTAGCTGACTCACGATAGGGAAAGTACTGCCGGATGATAATAATATTAATCACACTATTTCTCTTCATATGCAGAGGTCGCTGAAACAAGTGAACTCTATTTCACCTACTCCACGGACCGTTATGTTCGAAAGGGAATAGGCCTTTTACTTTACTTTCTTTAATAGTAAGCTATTGTAGTGCTGACCACACTATCTCTTCATATGCCGAGGTCACAGGAACAAGTGAACTCTACTTCACTTGCCCCATAGACCGTCAGGTTTGAAAGGGAAACTTTACTACTATTGTAGTTTTGAGCAATTACTTGCAGTGGATTAATTTGTGTTTAATAAAGGGACCATTCATAAATAACGTCACGCTTTTTTTTTTACGATTTTTACCTCCCCCCTCCCCCACACATCGTCTCACTACAGCCAGACCCACCCCTTAAAATGACGTCACACCTCAACCTACACCTACCCACCCCCTTCAAAATTGCAGTTTAATTGTTCTTTAAATACGATATTTTTCCTAAATCTCTTCTGAACTCTGTCAAACATAGAGTATTTTAATCAATTCTTTTTACAATTTATTAAAATAGTTTTCTAAAACGCTAATAGACTAAAATTCGTTTTCTAACATTGTTTTTTTTTATAATGCAAAAGTGTGACGTCACACCGCCTAACCCCCCCCCCCTCTCTCTCATCATACACCGTCCCAAAATTACGGACCCCCCCCCCTCCCCCTACGAGTTTGACGTCATTTATGGTCAAGTTGAAAGAATACAATCATTTAATTAAATTGACATGTAGGCACCTTTATTTCCGCACCGCTACATTTGCTATCAACAGCTTGTAAACGGGTGGTCAGTATTAACTGCTCTTCTGTCATTTCTTTGACAGAAGTTTCAAGTTCTTTCGATTTCATCACCATATCTTTAGTAGCCGTATCTAATTCCTCTAGTCGTTTCTGTGTGTCGAGTAGAGACTCGCTTATCTCTTTTATTGAAGATTTAATTTGTTTTGTGCTATCAGTATGTTTATTCGCAGACTCAGTTTGATATTCGATTCTTTCTGTTAAACTTTCCACATTCATCTCCAAATTATCTATGCGTTTTTTATTTTGTTTTGTTTTCTTTGTTTGAGAGTTTCGCTTCGCTTCCAAATTTTTTAGTTGCTCTTTTAGTGTGCTGAGGACGGACTGGAGTTCCTCCTTAGTAACTAAAAAAAAAAAAAAAAAACAGAGATAAAATGTTAAAGTGTATTGATATATTAATGTATTAACTGGTCTACTTTTGTCTTTTAATAATTGTTTTACTTTTGGAAATACTACTAGATCTACAAAAGATCAGGGTTCCCTAGACATATTTCTTCAGTCAGAGAAAAGTTTGTTAAAGAATACTTTGTCTATATAAATTTAGGCCTACTATTTTTTTCTTTGCCATGAGGGGAGGACGTGCTCCTTGGAAAAATGAAACGCACTCCCCCGCCCCCCACCTCCCCCCAAACAGATGTCTGAAAGAAATCCTGCAACAGATCAGAACCCAGTATTTCTTCCAGACTTTTTTCTCCGGGGGGGGGGGCACTTGAAATTTTCGGGGGGGGGGGGCGGTAGACTTTCTTCGGGGGGGGGGGGGCGGCGGACACTGTTAAAAGTATATATTTTCTATATAAATTATATAAATTTCATTTCGTTCGGGGGGGGGGGGGGGCGGTAATAAATTTTCGGGGGGGGGGGGGGGGGGCTTCGAAGAGATGCCTGGAAGAAACTCTGTCAGAACCTACACATAACTAACACAGGCAAGTTAGCTTTTAGTGAAGAAACAATGAAGAAAACAATCTATACATAAAATCGTTTACCAAATTGGATTGTGTTCAATGTATCCTTATGTTGTAAGTCAGTGGATGTCACACTTGTATCAGGTGTAGACATTGCAGAAGCACCTGACGTGTTTTCAAACTCAATATTATCTAAGGAGAAAATAATGTTTATTTGTAACCAATGGCGTAGCGTAGTCAGGTGTCACCCGGTGCGGCACTTAATGGTGCCACCCCCCAGATGCGTAGCGACCCTTCCCGGGGACAAATTTTAAACTTTCGATTTGCACCCCCACCCCCCCCCCCCCCTCAAACTTTCGATTTGCACCTCTTAAAACACGATTTAACACTCGAATTAATCACTTAATTAAGTGGAATTATCAATTTTCTCTATATATTTTGCTATTTTTTGCCTTGGTGTCCCCCCCCCCTAAATGGTGTCACCTGGTGCGGTCGGCACCCCCCCCCCCTCTACGCCTCTATTTGTATCTAAAATTAGTAAAGTATGCATGCTAATACATGGTAAAAGCAGCACAGATAAAAAGAGCTTCTAAGAAATGAGTCCATTGGAGAGGTGTTGCTCCCCAAGGGCCATAAACTAATAAAAAAACATAAGCCTACTATTCTGCTAATACCAATTAAATAAAATCATGCGCATCTTGTAATACTGGTTGGAATATATTTGTGATATAAGGAGCTAAACACAAAATAGGCCCTACAATACATATCTTCTTTTTTAATATCTTAATTTACTAGTTAGATATTTATGTTGATTTATTTAATGTTGTGCATAGAGGTTCACCATTATTATAAAGAGGCATTAGATAAAACTTATTATAAGCCTATAGTATTTTAAGTTTAGGTTCATTTTTTTAACATAATAATAAGCTAAATTGAACTAAAGTATTTCAATTATCAAACATTTCAAGATGGGATTTATTTAAAAATATTTCTTTAGACAATTTAAATCCATCAGGAATGAGAAGTATAGGCGTACATTAAATAAATTAGTTTTGTACCTAGCAACTTAGAAAATGTATATAAAGCAGCTCCACTAGTTTGTTCTAGTAGTTGCATCATCTCTGCAAAAGTTTTTTTCCTTGAAACATTCTCTGTCATCCAAGACTTGCACTCCTCCACAGCCTGTTGAATTTTATTTTTTTAATTATAACAAAGGTTTTGTTGTCTCTTTCAGACATTTTTCTCAAGGGTACGAGGGGTGGGGGGAAACATTTTTCTAAAGGGTGGGGGGAAGGGGGCTAACTAAATTTTCCAGAGGTGGGGGTAGACACTGGTAAAGTAAATATAAAATATAATTTGTTTGGGGAGGTAGAAGTGCTTGGAGTGGGAGGGGGGGGGGACACAGAGGCATAGCGACCCTTCCCAGCGCCCGGGGACAAACTTTCATTTTTAATTTTCAATTTGCACCCCCCCCCCCTCCCCTCAACTTTTCGATTTGCAACCCCCCTTCTCAAACTTTCGATTTTTGCACCCCCCCCCCCCCCCCTCAAGCTGCAAAAATACAGCTAAAATGATATTTTAATTTGTTTTTACAACCCATTTTGAAGCCCCCTAAAGTCGGCGCCCAGGGACATATGTCCTCCCCCTGCCCCCCCCCTCCCCCATCGCTACACCTCTGGAGGGGGATGCCTGAAAGAAACACTGATTATAATACTCATAGCACTTGAATATTAAATGAACCTGTTTGTTATAAACTGTTTAGGCCTGTATACTTAGAAGCCATCAATTAATCCATTAATCACATCACACTCCAAGGCAGACTTGTGTGAGCAGGGGTGGGATGTCGCAGAAAGTGTGAAGCCAGACATTTGCATTTAAAACATAATTTTTAAGGTATTTGTATTTTGTATTAGTTACTGTGTGTTGTAATAAAAGTTAATAAATACCATTAATTTTGAACCAGCTCGGACACTATTTTTAGAAAGAAAACATCATTCTAAAAATGTGCAATCAGGAAGTGTTGTTAGACTGAAGTGTCATGTCACCATTAAAAACCATCATTATAAACAGACTTTATTTATTATAAGTCTATAGACAGTAACCTAAAACAATTTTTAAAACCTAATAATTTGCTAAATTTAACTGAGTTATATTAAATTATAAAAAAAAATTTCAAGATGGTATTTATATTATATTGAGTTATAAAACATTTCAAGATGGTATTTATATTGTATTAAGATATAAAACACTATCAAGATTCAAGATGGCATTTAAATTATATTGAATTATAAACCATTTCAAGATGGGATTTATATTATATTGAGTAACAAAACGTTTCAAGCTGGGAATTGTATTGCAATGAAAATAAATATTTCAACAATATGGATCAGTTGGAATTGCATAGTATCCATTGTATAGTATGAAATAAATTATTTTTGTAATTTTGGGTGATTCCAACAATTTGTGATGATGTGTGGTAATGTGCAGGGAGGTAAGACATTGCTCAAAAACAGTCTGATACCATTTATAGGTGACCTCTTACCTTATTTATTTTATATAGTAACAGCAGCATAGCATCCCATGCCTGGAGCAAAGTATCAATTTTGTGCTCTCCTCCCCTTCCCAATATATATATTTAAGGCTATTCAAATGTGTGAAAAATCTCCCCCTAAGGCCTATATGCTTATAATTTTGGGAAAAATTGTTAATTAAAGACAATATTTATTTAATGACCCATGGCATTAGACATTTTAAGTTTTACTATTTCAAAAGCTAAAATTATAATGTGTTAGATATGAGAAAACATCTTTATTTTAGTATTATTTGTTTACTTACTTCATTAATTGAAGTCAGCAATGGAGTTAACACTTGTCTTTGATTTTCTAAATTCTTTAAAAATATTGTGATGGCTTGCTTGTACATAACTTGAATCATCTAAGGCAAGGAAACATTCAGTTTTTCTCTGTTACTGATATAGATTCCATGAAATTTTGAAAAATTCTATTCTCATATAAAATTTATAATTGGCGAATATTATTCCAAAACATAGGAATACTTGTAACCCATACATATTTTCCGATGAAATTTATTTAAACATTTCATATTTAGTGGAATTGTATGAAAACTACCCCATATCTTGTCACAAGTGTTTTACAATATACCCCTAAGGTGCAGTTCTTAAAACCAGGTATAAACATAGGTTTATCAATAAAAAAAAAGGTTAGATTACAGGCCCATATTACTGCAAAAAATTATATTAATAAATTATTAAGGAAAAAGAATGGGCTTATTTATTTTCTATTGTATTATACCATGGTAAGGTTTGTTTGTCCTGGTACATAGGCCACTTAAAAGAGCTTTCCAGGCTACATTTGTCCTTGGCTAGTCTCTCGAACTGTCCCTAAGTAAAAGTTTCCCTTTCAAACCTGACGGTCTATGGGGCAAGTGAAGTAGAGTTCACTTGTTTCTGTGACCTCGGCATATGAAGAGATAGTGTGGTCAGCACTATGCCCAGCCGCCTTTACTTTCCCTAACGTGGAACTGTCCCTAGGAGTATCCAATCTTCTTGGTGTCTTCTTCCAGGTCATGTCTCCAATTATGCCATAAGGTAGCATACAAATAGTGGGACAGCATGGTCAGAATTTAGATCATATATTTGCTGACTCGAAAGTGTCGAGTTCAGATTTTGGGCCAGAGTCTGTAAGACATCCCTGAGTCCCCCCAGCTCTGATGAGTACATGACACTAGTGAAGTAAAGGCAGCTGAAACAGGTGAACTCTACTTCATCATCATGGACCAGGTTGAAAGGGTAACTTCACTTACCATTAAATGAAAGAACAGCTTTTATAACTGTCTGACCCATGTTAGTAGCCTACATTAGATGTGACTCTACTGTGTTGTTATGACTCAATAAATTGACATTATAGGTTATTTATTGTGTTGATTTAAAATAGTAGGTTATTAAGAGCACAAGAATAGTTTCCAATAAGAACATGTAGTTTAGTGGCAGGGCATAGTATTATAAGCCTGAAAGTCTTAAGCTTGGTTCACAGTGTTTTTGAGTCTATAGTCTATAGGAAAACCATTGGTCCACCCAGCTAAGAAGGGTGCAGAAAGGCTTGAGACAAGAATTAAGCTGGACATAATGCTGACCACCCCATGTAACTCAGATCAGATTTGCAAATGATTTGATGGTCAGAAAGTCAGCTGGACATAATGCTGACCATACCATTTAATCCAACTCAGATACATACAAGATTTGAGACACAGAAAGTAATAAATAATGCTGGGCATAGTGCTGACCATAGTATTCAAGCAAGCTTGAATAAACAAAACAAATACAACAGCCACCTCTGAGTTTAAACTTAAAATAATTAAATTAAATAAGTTAACTTACTTTTGCAAATGTTTATTGACTGAAAGTATGTGTTTTAAAATACATAATATTGGGAATCCCCTCAACATTAAAAGTTATCTGAGGTTGATGTTTGTCTATATTGAGGAAAATGTATTTAAGTAAATTTTAACAAACAATATTGGGAATCTCCTAAACTTTTAGAATCATTAAATAAAGGGGCCTAGGCATGCACACATTTTATAAAGGTTGTTTGATATCTGAGATAAAACTTTAAAAAAAAATATTACAAAATAGATAAAAACAAAACATGTAATCAGTTTTATTGCAGAACTTTTATTATTAATGTTACAAAAATAAAACAAATTTTCTAATTCAATGTAATTAACATTGTTATTTCAATACCAACTTTTTTTTTAGTTTAAATATTTAAATAAATGAATTGATAAAATGTCCATAAATTAAAGGAAATTTGATTTACTTTAAAAGATGTTTAAGCAGTAACAAAAATTCATTTTTTAAAAACATTTTTTTATGTTTGTGTTAAAATATAGAAGAACGTGTAATGTGAGGCATTATGAAGGTTGACACTACCATAACAATCCTCAAAATAAAAACATAATTTCAATTAGCTGACAACAGATAAAATTTTGTATAAATAATTATAACAGATACAATATAGATATAGGCGTGATTGCCATGAATTCTATAAACAAAGTTGCCAGACAGTACATTTATACACTGTAGGCTTTAAGTTGGACTAAATATGTGAAACAATAAATTAATAAACAGTTAAAACTGAAACAGTTGAATATAAACACAAGCAAAAGTAATATATTAAACAAAAATTAAGGGAATTCAACAAAACTAAAAAGTTGTTCACATTTTATGTAATTTGCTGGACAACCCCACATTTTTTTTCTAGCAATACATCTAGCTAGTGTGAGCAGAATAAAATCAAGGATCGTGTTTACAAATATACACATGATTATCTGCACCATACATAATAAAATCTATCAGATAAAACAAAAAGCTAGCAGTTCAACAATAGTGGGTAAGAAAAAAACAACTCAGAGGACAGCTAAAATAATTGAGGCCATATGTTATTCTTTAGAATTATGATAAGTAAAAATCAACCAACAAACTAAAAATACCTATGTCTATGATGCACATTTGTCTTTATAATGATGATTCACACAACAAGGTGAAAGAAAAAATGTGGTTAAAATTAATTAACAATATATATATAAATAAAATATACAATACTACTAATCTATTACATTAAATAAAAAGTCAATAGTTCAAATAAATTCGATAATTAGGGTTCTTTTAAAAACTTTTATAGCACTGAACCGTACATTCATTGAATTAAAGAAAAGCCTATATATATTCTACTGTTGACAATTAATAAGAAGTGAATTGAGCAGAAATCTGATAATAAAAAATGTGTTAACAAATGACAGTTGTTGATTATACAAAAATTTATTTACAAGTTATAAATAAAATAAATATAAACTTTTTAAATTTAAAAGCCTTGGAAGGAATAATTTTTTTAATGAAACTTTTCATGCTTGGTTAATAAAATTTTACATTTAAAATGCCTTTTACACACAGCACACTCAAAAGCTGAATACTTTTGTTGATGTTCAGTGAGATCTTTTTCACTCAAAAATATTTTTGAGCATGACGGACAACCATAAGTAATCTCCTTAGTGAGCAGCTGATGTCTAATTAAACTTTTCTTATGACGAAAAGTTTTGTTACACAGGTCACATGAAAATATCTTTTCATTTAGGTGAGCTACCTGATGCCGTGCTAAATGAGATTTATCCTTAAAACTTTTATTACAGACATCGCATTTAAACTGAACATTTCCAGAATGAATATTTTTGGTATCCAATGTTTCCAGGCATACATTACCCTGTGAAGGTATATTACCAGAATGTACTTTATTTAGATGCCTTTTTAAATCGAATTTGCGAAAATAACTTTTAGTGCACTTTTCACACTTAAAAGGCTTTACATTAGCATGCTTTAATTTATGCTGTTGTAACAAATACCGTGCAGCAAATTTCTCAGGACACGCATCACACTCATATGAATTATTTTCAGAATGATTTTTTTTTTCATGCTTTCTTAAATCACCTTTATGAAAATAACTCCTGGTGCACTTTTCACATTTAAAAGGCTTTTCACCTTTATGCTGGTCTGACATTAATTTCAAAGGAAAACCTGTATGCCGTTCTTTATGCTGGGTTAGTGCAAGGTTTTCAGAGAATTTTTTTGGACACAAGTCACATTGAAAAGGTTTTGAAACTGTATGCAGTTTCTTATGCCGTTTTAAACTAGATTTGCGAGTAAACTCTAAAAAGCACATATCACATTTAAAAGGATTTTCATTTGTATGAAGTAGTTTATGCAGATTTAATTCAGATTTTCGAGAATAGTGTTTATCACAAAAATTACATTTATATGGTATTTGACCTGTATGCAGACTTTTATGCTGAGCTAAATCATAGTTTCGACAGAAAGATTTGTCACATTCATAACATGAATATTTTTTTACTGGCTTTCTTACATGTACCTTAGGACATTTGGTTGGTTCCCTAATATGGAGCTTCTTATGCCAATTTAAATAGCACTTAATGGCAGACCTTCTAGGACACAAATCACATGCAAATATTTTTTCAACAGTGTGCAACAATTTATGCTTGACTAATGTATATTTAGCTTCAAACCTTTTGAAACACACAGGACACTTGAATGGTTTATGTAAATTATGTTTCTTCTTGTGATGCATTAATTGACATTTCCAAGTAAATCTTTCAAAACAGTTTTTACACTCAAATGGTTTTACACCAGTATGCACTTTTTTATGAAAAAGTAAAAGATATGCATTCTTGAACAATTTAGAACACACATCACATTTAAATAAATGCTTTCTAGTATGAAGTTTTCTGTGCTTAACTAAGAGAGAGTTACTAATGAATATTTCAGGACACTTATCACACAGAAATGTCCTACCTCCAGCATGATTTGATTTGTGCAGATTGTAGTCTTTTTCAAAACAAAATCTTTTAAGAGTATCACACTCAATCAGCTTCTCTGCTGAATGCTCCTGAACACAGTTTAACTCTGTAGGCTGCAATACTTCACTGTGTACTTCATTAACTACATGATTTTCTGATGACAGTCCATTCTTACAAACACAACAGATTAATCCAACACCGGTAGATGGTGACAATGTTAAACTCAACAGGTCATTAAATGTTTCCTTGCAAATATCACATTGAAATGACTTTTTTCTCTCAGTCTCGTCTGTGTGCAATTGTAAATGGCATTTATAACTAGCAAAAGTTGGAAGCTTTTCACCACAGCTGCTGCAATTGAAGTTAAACAAAGGTAACTCTCTAACTGTCCAACTTTTAAGTTTGTTTTCTATAATATTTCTTTCTGTTGAAATTGAAGATTGCTTCTTATCAACTTCCTCTTTAACCTCCTTCTTCATTTCCATCCTTACAGGAATAGTAATTTTCTATTTCTTTCAGTTTTGAGAAATACTTCACTGCCTATGTTTTCGGAATGAAGTCTAAAAGAGAAATTACAGAAATAGTTATTTAAGTGTAGCTAAGTGAATCTGGTTAATACAAAATATATGAGAATTTATGATAGATTAAAACCAGAGAGGAATATTTAATGACAATGGATCTATTTTGCTTAAAGACATGGTTTAGTTTACTTATTATCTTAATCTTGATGTTGAAATAATTATATTACATTTTATAATTATTATTATATAATTTTATTTATATATAGGCCTATAATAATTATATTTTGTTGAAATGTATTTTAACTATTGCTATTCACTTTACTGTGCATGGTAATATGTGTAAATTTTGAGACGAGAATTTAAGAAACAAAAAGACATATTCATATATTCAAGCTTAACATAATTTTGTGATTTGAAAATGATACAAATATGTTTACATCCTTCATTAGGTATTTATGGGATTGTGATATAGCATTTTACATGAAGTTAATTAATACTGTGTTTGCTTAGTGCTTTTTTCCTAAAACTTATTGAATTTCTTTTAGTAAACATTTTTATTTTCTAAATAAATCTTGCAACCCACAGTGCAACATGGATATAATCCACCCATGTCATTTTTAAATTTCTGTCCTCAACATATTATTTGACTTGCCATATTCAGTATTGGTATGGCATCTGCCATCTATCCAGTATACTATATCTATCTATAACTAAGCGAACAACAACACATTTACATTGCATTTAAATATTATGAGTTAATGGGCCATTGAACGGCAGTTAAAATTCAAGAAGTTTTGGATGGAAAACACCTGTTGATGATGGAGTAAAAGAAACTTAAAAATGTACATAAATATTATCATTATGATTGCTATAAACAATATGATAATAACTGGTAATAATCAATGTTTCCTCTGTCTTACTCTTAAAATGAGTCTCAATTTAGTCTTATATCATATAAGTTATATGTCTTAGCCTAAGACTCCTAGGTTGGCATTTCAACATCCGCTGTTTCGATTCGGTATTCCACATCCGGACTTTTTGATGCAGTCTTTATAAAAACTCGCCATTTTTCGAAGAATGGAATCGAGTTTTTAGAAATATTCGATACAGATATTCTAGTGTAGTCGTATTATATGTTTCAATTAGAAAATTATCGCCATTAAGACATTCTTAAAGCCGAAATCGATTGCACGATTCTAATTAGTTTATCTTGCGAACATGTCGCGTACGGTGCTGTCACACTTTAAATAAGTTTACGTATTAAACACATTCTAAGGGTCTTGCCATTAGCTTTAAGTCTCCATTAAATAAACAAATATTATTATAATAACGGTTTTATGGCATTTACTACATCTGTTTACGAGTTATCACACATGTCGAATCCCAGAGCTAGCTCTTCGGCCTTGACAACGCTATGGCGTCGGTTTAACACCGCATTACCTATTATAGATAAAATATGCGCACTAATGATAATGGCATACTTTTCGAAGGTGGAAAGAATTTAATTGTGGGTGGCACTGTTAAAATTAGATGAAATACATTGATCGTTATCTATTAAAAACAATAAGCAAGAAGCTTAGGTTTACATTAACTAGTGTCAAGCATTTCACACATATCTACTTAGATTTAAGGCTTATACTTTATACTATAAATAAATAAGTTATAGGCCTATTTCTTAGTATAACTAATGCTATAAGTATCGAGTGATAAAGTAAGTTGGGGCCTATTATTGGTTATAATAAGTAAAGAAGCTTATTTACTTATTTGTAATAATTATGCCTATGACATTAGTAAATAATAAACAAAAGGCGCAGCAATAGACATGTAGGGCATTGGGGGGGGGGGGGGGAGGCGTTTAGGGCGATACTAATTAATAAGGCAGTGAATTTAGAATGACACGAAAAAGGCATGAAAATTATTATTTATAATTTTAGGATAAAATTTTTACATTTAATAATAAAAAGTAACAAAAAACAAATAACAACAAACAATACGGATTTAAATCACAGCATATTGCCAATATGTTCATATAAGCAGATAGACAGAGAAGCTGTACCTCCTTCTGATGTGGTAGAACTTAACACTTAGCTTAATAAACTTTTACATGAATTTTCTATTGATTAGTTGTACCAAAATATCAATAGGGCCTAATAAAGACCCTAGTATATTAAAGTAGTTTCCCTTTTGGACCTGTCAATCCATCATCCATAAAACAGCTGAAGTAGAGTTTATCTGTTTCTTGACCACTGCACATGAAGTGATGGTGTGGTTAGCTCTCTGCCCAGCTATCTTTACTTTCCCTTACATGGGTCAGGTACTCATCTGAGCTTGGTGGATGCTGCTTACTGCACGGACAGACTCGTCTACGATCTGAGCTTAAGACTCGCATGTTAGTAGTTGAGTGCTCTACCACATCATCCCTAAATTTATTTTTCAGCATTCTTCTTATTACATGCTTCAGTATCAAAAATCACCAAAATTTATCCTATCTATTATAGTAAAATTCTGGACATATGTCTGTTGCAGTCACTATAATTACTAGAAAAGGGTGCAACACCCTTTTCGTAGGACTTTTTAATTATATGCAGTCATACTTAGTCTAATTTTTTTCTATATTTCTATTCCCCCCACCCTCTAGCAATTTTAATATTAAAAAAAAAAACTTAGACTTTCAGTCTGCATATTGACCTATATAGAACAGCACCCCTCACTTTAATTTAACTTTATTAGTTCTAATTATCCTTCATGAAATTTTGATTTTACTTTCATATTTCTATTGCCCGCACTCTCTAGCACTAATGTGCAACGTTTTATTATTATATCTCAAATAGCAGCAGTGGTATGCAAGCCTAAAGCCAATCACACAATTAAATCTGACCTTACAGTTTACAGTGATATAGATTCTATAACACGTTTTTGAAGTTTAATACATAACTTTAAAAATTCATATAAAAAAAACTGGTAAAACCTTAGTTTAGCATCGGAAATTATCGGGTAATGTTTATTGAGTTTCGGTAACTGTCGTTACGGTAAACCATGGTTTATTTGACTACACTGAAATATAAATATATATTATTAAATAAATTGAAAGTCGATTGTAGTAAATTCATGTTTTAATTTTTTAAGTTTAATCGACAAAAGGGAACAAGAATAAATATAATAGTAGATTTAAATTAGTAGATCTAAAAATTAAAAAAAAAAAACATATATTAACATAAGAATAAATAATGAAGTCGGATTGCAGCGGATTTGAGACCAATAATTAATTAGATCTAAATCTAGCTAGATATCTAGCTGCTAGGCCAAGTAAAAAAATCTAGATTACGAAAATAGTAAAAATGATTACAAAATGTAAAAATTATTACAAAAATAAATCTATCAAAATTTTAAACATTCTGTATAAAAATAAAAGATGACGCCAAATAAAGTATGGTTTACAGTACTTCCGGTGAATTCTGGAAGTGTGTGACAGACTTTGGCATTGTTTTACTGTTTTGTACTGCTATACGATTCCAGAATAATAACCGACGCTAAACTAAGGTTTTACCAAAAAACTATTAGGCCTAGAATGATAAATTTGGTATTTTTATCAATGAGGTATATTATAGGATTAATCTGTGTCCATTTTGTCATTCTATGATAATTAGAGAAAATTTCCCAATATGCCTACTCTTAGGATCAGGAGCAAAAGAATGTGAACTGAAGAACAGTGAACTTCAATCTTCATCAACTCATCAGAACGTTTATGCAAGGGTTATTTTAAAAATATACAAGTGCTTAAAATAATAAAAAGATTACCAGAATTCAAACTAGATCTAGATTTAGACAAAATACAACAGCATACACTTGTATATCTAGTATTAATTTAACTTAGTATTAAGTATAATAAGTTTGTCGTCTGTCTACTTTTATGCGGCACTCTAAATCTGGCAACATCCTGTTTCTATTACTCTCAAAAGCATCCGGGTAAATACTAATAACCAATATCTAGATTTCGTTTTGATTTTATGATTTAAGAAAAGCGTGTCATTCAATACAAAGAGCACACGATAAAGCTATTTAAAATGGTCAATGTCGTCACTCAGTCAAATACAGCAATTCTACCTGTCACACAAGCTCACTGGCAATCTCAAACAAATTTCCCGATGACGATAAAACTCGCAAATCAAAATAACTATGGATTGATCATACACCAAGTAAAGCAATGATCAGCACACTAAGTTAACCATTACCATATGCCATATTCTGCAGCCGCAAAAGAAAAGTCACAGGGATATATTATCCAGGATTACAACTGCCGGGTTATAAAACTTAAGGTAAAGAGGTTTAATATGTTGGGTGGGCGATTTTGCAGTTACACCAAATATAAGTAGAGATCTATGTTTTTATTATTTTAATGATAAAAAAAAATTCAGAGTGTTCAGGACCATCTCATTCGACTGTAGGATCTGTCGTTTACTGTGAAAATTATTACAAATTTAGAGTGAATTCAACAATAACAAAAATACTTTAAAATTATAATTAGCCAAAATAACATCCTCAAGCTTATTCTGCTTTTGAACCTAAATAATTTTGTGATAAGAATCTCAACTCTGTAATTTATTTCCATTTTTTCTTTTTTTTGTGACATCATGATTCTTTAGCACTCAACATTTTATTTAAATATTCAATACTTCAAAACGTTTTAAAAACCAAATTTGACTTAGATTTTCAATACTTTTCGGAGAACAAAATTTCTACCGATATTTAGAGTATACTTAAGGGACATAAGCATAGTAACTGTCGAAAAGTATGTTTACGCTTTTTTATACAAATTGAGCAAGCGCTCACTGTGATATTTTCCTTATCTCATATCTAGCTGGGTAATGTTAAATGTGTGTAGTGTAGGCCTATAGTCTTTTAAAATGTGTGCATGTTAAAAGTGAAAAACTGAAGTAATTACTGAATTAAGTAGAACATCTAGACTGATTGTCTGATTCTGATACTACTCAGAGACTTAATTTTAAAAGTTTAATTTTTTTTTAATTAACTTTTTGGGGGAATTTTTATACCAGGGTCCGATAATAAAATCAGTCGAGATTACGAGACTACTTACAACTAACCCAACACACCTATTTTATCAGAAATTGGTATCTAAAATCATCTGAATCTTGAGTATGTGTTGAAAATGGTTAGATCTAGAAATCTTTATAAAAATAATGAACTCAAATAATTTTATTTTATGGTCCTAAAAAGGGATTTACATGTAGTCAGATGGTGTGTGTCATAGCGTAGATATATAGAATTAAACTAGACTAGTAGAGGTTACGAAGGACGGTGAGAACTTGACAGTAGATGATTTGGTGCAAGAGTATTGTGCGCGTGTTCAATAAAATATTTGTGGCCCAAGTGTGACGTGAGCATGACGCAACAATGTACCAATGACGTAGACCGCATCAGTGAAGTTAGTTGAGGGTTAGATAAACTAGAAGACAGACGTATTGTTTGATGTTGTGCAAATGATCTATAAGTGTGTTAATAAAGTTAATGTTAGTTCATAAACGAAGTTGTTGGCATTGTTAGTTAGTGTCTGAGGAACATAAGAGTGTTTCCCGTCCTCCTCACGAGTATAATAGCCGTATGAATAGTAGTAGATCAGAATATAGAAGTTATATATAAACCCCCCATCACAGTGTGGTCAAGTGGTTAGGCTTAAGTCATGTCATAGCACTTTCCTTAGTTGACCTCACTCTGAATCGGATGGGTAACTTCGTTTTGTTGTATCTTGTCCGCCCAATAAAATTATCAAAATATTCATATTAAGCTTGCTCATCTCGTCTTCTAACACTTTATAATAATAATCGCATGTATAAACAGGGCTTCTTGTGTACATTTGTCTCAATACTTACTTACTTTATGATAGCTATGTAGGCTTATATTATATAATCTAAATAATATGCCCATTTTTTGACATATTGTGTTGCATTAGTATAATGTATACTGAGAAAAAGAGAAGATCTGAGATTTTAGAAAAACCTTACCTCATCTATAAAAATTCTTAATAGGTCCTATTTAATTTTCAAATGCTAGACAATGGGGTAACAGGTGATCTTTCTATGTAAACCTGTGTGCTATGTTCTGTCTCTTTTTTTTAAACTTCTGTTTTATATATATATATATATATATATATATATATATATATATATTTATATATATATATTTATATATATATATATATATATATATATATATATATATATATATATATATATATATATATATATATATATATATATATATATATAGGCCTATATATATATATATATATATATTTTTTTTTTTTTCAGACTAGAAATTTAAAGCTAAGAATAAGTAAATTTTACAGTCTAGGATGGAAAAGAAACAGGACTTTTATTTAATACCAACAAGTGAAGATATGAAAAACAGAAAAACAAATGATTTTTTTACAAGTTCAACAGAAATAACCATTGATTTAACAATTGATGATACAGATGATGCTGATCCTGTTAAGTCTGTGGACCCTGAAATTTTATTTCTGACTAATTTCAAGCACCCCTCAGCTAGAGAGTTACCTTTATTTCATTTCAGTTGCACACTGTGTGGTGAGAAACTTGCAAGTTTTGCCAGTTATAAACTGCATTTGAATTCTCACACAATAGAAGAAAATTTTACTTGCAAAGTTTGCAGTAAGAATTGTATGGACAGCTTTTCTTTAAGGCGTCATGAATCTTTGCACACTTCGTCATTTATTGAAGAAAAAACTTTTAAAACTGATGTATTCCATAAAGCTAATTCTTCTGAACATGATCTGACTTTGTTTGAAAAGGTGCACACGGAAGAAGGGCAATTTAAATGTGATGTTTGCAAGGAAATATTGACTGATATGTCAAGTTTAACATTGTCACCAAGTTCAGGAAGGAGCTTAATTTGTTGTCTCTGCAGGGAAGTATTGTCATCACATAATCAAGGTGATGATCAAGTACAAATAGAAAATTCTGCCCAGAACCCAGTCTTACAAAAGAAAACAGTAAAGGGACAATATGCATGTGATTTGTGTCCTAAACGCTTTACTCAAAAAAGGTCCTATAATAAGCATAGTGCACTGCATAAAAGTAAAAGTGTGCTTGAATTTAAATGTGATGTGTGTTCTAAATTTTTTAAGCAGAGGCGTTACTTAACTCGGCACAAAATACTGCATACAGGTGAAAAGTCTTTTAAATGTGATATATGTTCTAAAAGTTTTTATTATAAATATCGTTTGACAAGTCACGAAAAAAACTCTCACTATAAAGTAAAACCATTTGAGTGTAATGAATGTTTTGAGACATTTATGTGTAAATACAAGTTAGAAGAACACAAACATACTCATACTAAAATTCCCTTTTATAGATGTGAATTTTGTAATAAAAGTTATATTCACAAGGAACTTTTAGAATTGCATCTTTTGATCCATATTAATTAAAAGTATATTGCATCCCAGTTTAAATCTAACTCAACAAAAAATTTGATTTGCTGATAAATAATTTTTGTGATATCAAAAAAAAAATTTTCAAACATTAATGAAAAGAAAGATTTCTTAATTAAGTTGAATTCTTTTTTTCTAGATCTAGTTCTTTTTTATTTGATTTTTTAATTTTTCTCAGATTCTCTATTCATTTATAAGTTTGCAATGTTTAAGTTTTAAAATGTTCCTTTCCAGATGTTGCTCTTTAACTTAGCACAAGATTTACTGTCTTATTACATAAAAATATTTTCATCCTCATGTCATATAAAGTTCTCAAAATGAACTTATTTAAATACCAAAGTATAAAATAATATTTTGCAAAAGTTTTTATTATATAGAAAATATTTTTCTATTTTATATGAAGAAGTTATAAGAGTACATGACTTTATAGCCTATAACATAATGTTGTATTTATGTCCTTACATTATTTGTTATAATCACAACTACCAACGTTTATCACAAAAATATTTACTTAAATTATCATTTTTAAAATTTAAAAAAGACATTTTTGTAATTTATGACAAAATTCTGCTTGAGCAATGCTTTATTTTTACTTAACAGTATTATTGACAGCTAGATGTTCCTCTATTAATGTTGTTTTCTATTTATTACCACTGTTCTATATTATTTGGCAGTATTGTCTTTCATTTGTGATAGTTCAATTTTTGTTAAACATTTGAAAATCTCCAATAATTTTTGGCAATTTTCAGCTTTTTTCACTCGTTAATTTTTCTTAACTGTTTTATTGAAACCTATCTTTAGCTATTAGCTGGCCATAAATTATTCAATGTATGTTAATTCTATTTATTACTACTGTTTTATATTATCTTGCATGGTAAATCTAAAATAAAGCTACTTGAAGCAAATAGTTTCCTTAACTTAAATAAATATTTATTCTTTTTTATCATTGCGTACCAACATTATTTTCTATCACCAGTATAATGTATATTGATAGTTTGGCATAACATGTTTAATGCGGTTGTAAAATTTAAAAATGAATGTAGGATATTTATTAAAAATGAATGTAGGATATTTATTAAAAAACATTTGCTTTAGCAAATATATAAGTGTACTTCATTAAAGTTTTTGTATACATTATTTTTTTAACTGTCTGTAACTGAGACAAAACATTACAATTTCAAAATAATAATTCTATGTACACATAAGAGAAAGTTATATTTTGTTAATCTTTTTTTTTAAAGTAGTGTTGGCAAAATTAATAATAATAAACTTTATTTACATCAGTGATAATATTGTGCACTGTGGACTTTTATCTCATTGGACATTGGCTAATTAATGTTAACAACTAAAGTAGAATTGTTGTGTTTATCGTAATAGGCTTAACTTCCGCTTTTAAAATTCAACTAAAATCTATGTATAATATTATATATGAGCAAACAACTAAGATATTATAATGCCTTCAAACTAAATAAGCACAGTTTCAAATTTCACAATTAGCCTACAATTTAAACTTCAAAATGTTACCATTATTTAATCTTCAATTGATTTCTAGTCCATTATTTTCAAATACCTTTGGAAACTGAAATGCTTCTTAAAAGTTGTCAAATTTTTAACTCATTCTTGTAAATAAATTGTTTTAATAATTTTCTATTTTGTTGTTATTATGCTGAAAAAATGTGTCGCTCTGTTTGCTTCCCAATAAATCGGAATCAGCAGCATCACATGAGATGCTAGGGGTCGGCGTGGTCGAGTCGGTAAAGCTCATGGTTGCTAAACCGAAAAGTTTCGAGTTCGAACCCCCGGGCAGATGAGGCTCTCCACTCAACTCCAAAAATTAACCAACAGCTGCCTTGTAGTTTGTTCTTCAAAGGCTATGGAAGGAAATCCAAAAAAGAAAAGCAGGCTGTAGTCAATGGCGCATAACCATGTAGTCCAGGGGTCTCCAAACTACGGCCCGCGGGCCGAATGTGGCCCGCGAGGTCCTCTCATCCGGCCCGCAGATATCTTTTTGTCCATGGAAAAAAACGTTTGTTGGCGATGGCTGAGGAACTTTGCCCAGAAAAACCAAAGACATGCATGGAAGAAACCGGCCCCCGAACTGAAATTCGATAGTTAATGCGGCCCTCGGACTGAAAAGTTTGGAGACCCCTGATGTAGTCAATGGAGGCGTGGTCGAGTCGGCAAAAGCATGGTTGATAAATTCGAAAAAAGTCTAGAGTTCAAACCCTCTGGCAGATAAGGGGGTCGTCCATAAATGACGTCACACGGGGGGGGGGGGGAGGGGGGTCCGTAATTTTGTGACAGTGTGTGATTGAAAAGCAATGTTAGAAAACGAATTTTAGACGATATTTAGCGTTTTAGAAAACTGTTTTAATAAATTGTAATAGGAATTGATTAAAATACTCTATTTTGACAGAGTTCACACACGATTTTAGAAAAATACCGATGTTTAAAAAAAAAATTCAACTGCAATTTTGAGGGGGGTTGTAGGTTGAGGTGGGGGGGGGGGGGTCTGGCTTTTTGTGACGACGTGTGACGGGGGGGGGGGGAGGTAAAAATCGTCCAAAAAAGCGTGACGTCATTTATGGATGACCCCTAAGGCTCGATCTCTTCCAACAATAAAATTAAGAACGAAGAAGAAAAAGAAGACATGAGATGCTGAAAGGCGTTATAGTATCGCCCATAGGAGCTGAACACCTGTTTGATTTGAAAGATGGGTTGCTGATCGATAGTCGTGTGTTGTAAATAAATAAGGGAATGAACTCTGTCCGTACTGTTCATTAAATAATTATACAGTAGTGCCCTTTGACTTGTCTGTCTTGTACACAGGTTAGGTGTGTTGAGAATAGGAATAAGTAAAACAATAATTGGTGGTCAGATGGTAGAGCTTACGACAGTGGCGTAAAGCTAGCGACAGCAAGACATAGGGGCCCTAGGCACATAAGGACCCGTTTCCTTCTTTAAAAAAATAAAACTTGGAATCTTAACATTGGTTTTATGTAAACAATGTTAAAAACAAAAAGGAAATCAAATCTTTTCTACTAGCTCTCAATCCCTTCTTTACTGTACAGGCATTGGCATTCAGCAGTAGTATAGGCGGGGCGTCCCAGGATATCCAGTGATTGCGCGTCATGCAGGGGTACTACTAATTCAAAGATTAAAGCACAGGAGCACCTCTACGTTCGATGATTAAACCGAACCAGGGGTAACATCCGTCTAGTGTAACATGCCATGAAAAACAATTGTAGATATGCCCATTGGGTTAGTAACTAAGCCATTTTAAGTTTCTAACATATAGAAGCAGCTAAAATAGATCTCAAGAACTTATTGTTTATTTTACAAAATTAAAAGCATGAGAAGAAAGATCTAAATAAATCACGAGTTGTTTTTTTTTTTAATGTGATAGTGGCGTCACAAGGTTGGGTGTTCCCCTACGCAGAGGCGTAGCGATGGGGGGGGGGGGGGGGAACATATGGGTTGTAAAATCGAATTAAAATGTCAGTTTAGCTGCATGTTTTCAGTTTGACGGGGGATCAAATCGAAAATTTGGGGGGGGGGGTGCAAATCGAATAGTTGAGTGGGGGTACAAATTGAAAATTTGCTCCCGAGGGGGGCGCCAAATTGAAAGTTTGTCACCGGGCGCTGGGAAGGGTCGCTACGCCTCTGCCCCTACGCGTTTACCAAAGATGTCACTTATCTTTTATTATTTTAGAAGAATACAAAATAATGACAAAATAATTAGAATTAATTAGAACCATTCGCATCAGTGGCGTAGCCAGGATCGTCTCAAGGGGGAGTGGGGGGGGGTTCCAATTTTTACCCGGGGACAAACTTTCAATTTGCACCCCCCCCATCAAACTTTCGATTTGCAACCCCCCCTCAAACTTTCGATTTTCACACCCCCCTCATACTTTTTCTATATACTGAGGGGTCTATGGGGGGTTATGACCCCCCTAACCCCCCCCCCCCCCCCCTGCCAACGCCACTGATTCGCATGCGTTCCGACTCACCCTGTCATCCAGTGTTTCTTGCAGACTATTTTCTCACAGTGACACCCGACCTAGCGACGCCACCGAATGTTTTAATTACAGTATACATTTCTTTCGTGATATTTTGTAAAACCGAAGTCCTTCCAGTAACTAGCCTATATTTGTGTACGGCTAAACGTGGTGATTTAAAAAAAAATACTTTTTACCTATTACATTGTAATAAAGTTGTAATATTATTAATAGTTTTTTTTTAAGTAGCTACGATCAGTGGCGTAGCGAGGTCGGGTGTCAACCGGTGCGGCACTTAATGGTGTCACCCCCCGAGAGGCGTAGCGACCCTTCCCGCGGACAAACTTTCAAACTTTCTACTTGCATCCCCCCCCCCTCAAACTTTCGATTTGCACCCCCCCCCCAATTTTTTTTGCCTTGGTGTCACCCCCCTAAATGGTGTCACCCGGTGCGGTCCGCACGCCACGTCGTCCCCCCCCCCCCCTTGCTACGCCTCTGGCTACAATTTTGAACGTTGTAACTTGTAGATATGCTAATTTGAAATCTAAAGCTAAAGCGAGCGCTACCAACCCGCTTGTTACTGAGAACTGGACTTGGGACTACTCCTCCAACCCCTTTCCAAACACTCCACACAACACTGATCCGGCTAACTAATTATAATTTTTTCTAAAAAGACCAAATTGCTTAGCCTATTCATTAGTAAACTAACTAACCCGGAAGTAAATTGTTAAAAAAAGTGAAAAAAGCAGGATGTTGCCAGATTTCGGATATTTCTTACACATGCTTAACTTACAGTCACAGTCTCAACTTCTCAAGGATTTGGTCATTGACACATCTGAGAACTAATAAGATCCCATAAGATCTAGATTTTAAAGCCCTAGTTGAATTGTTTTTTTTTTCTAATTTGAATTCGGTTAACTTAGTAAGATAGTTTCTATTCTATCATCATAAGTAATAAAGTATCGACTATCATAGGCTAGTATTCATAGGCTTACTTTTTTGTGTGTTCGCAGACTACTGACAACTGTGTACTTTTTACTGTGTAGGTAGTACTTTAGTAGTAGAGTGTGTAGACTGTAGACTAGACTGATACTGTAACTGGGTAAGCTATCATCAGTATCGTTTTTACTTTAAGGTAGATCTACGTAAAAATAAAATCGTCTGAGATTAGTTTAGTAATGTGAAAAAAGGTGATTCATTCAGTTTTAGTTATTATTTCACATTGATAGTAGGCCGTTCCGTATACTTAAACTTTATTAAACTTAATTACTTAATTGTGTTGGAGGGGATCCCTTCCAACACAAAAAATAAGAACGAAGAAGAAGAAAGAAGATCTGTAAACTAAAATTTAACCAATTACCAGAAAATCATTAACTTTAGCCCCCTTGCATTAAAAGTTCATTAGATGTAAGCAAAATGTGTGAAATTGGCCATCAACATAGTAATGTGCTGGTTAGGTGGATATGAACAAATTTTAATGAACCCAAAAGTTATAAACCAAATGACCTACTTCTAGACTATAATTATTATTTATTAAATATTAATAAACTAACATTAGGAGAGATACTCACTAAATTTTTAACTGAATAATTTATTGATTCAAATAGAATAAATTCATTTTTCTATCTTTCTTTTTATGTCTTAGGACATCAAATCTGAGGCTATTGCTTATTAAACTGTATTTACTATTTAGTTTTATCAATTTGGACTTATAATAAATTTTAACTGTGGGTTATACTCATGTCTGTGACAATCACATTAAGTCACAAAACTAGGAACAAAAGCCAAAATTGTGATCTTGCTGGAGATTGACGATCAGTAACAAAACTGAAGCTGCATGTTTCCATATATATGCAGAAATACTTAAGAAAAAACTTAACAAATGAACACAATACATGTATTGAAAATTAAAATGTCTACCATATTTTAGGTCATTTATTTTAATGAACTTAAAATCAAAAGCAATTAAGTAGGCCTAATTATTACATTATATTTTAAAGCACAATATCAAGTACTCTCAACCATTCTAACAAAGTGACAAAGAATTTTGCACCACTTGGTTGTACTTTATGTGTCTAAAGGAAAAAATGGATGTTAGTTATCTTAAATTAACTTATTTCAACTTATTAAAATAATCAGACTACCTTAAAGTTAAGAAAAAGTCAATGAATGTTAAAAATAATCAATAGGTGTAAAAAATATATAAAATGCCAACCTGAATGTCTCAATGCCAAGCTTAAGTTTTTTTTGTTTATACATAAAAGAACATGCTTTTTTTGTTTTTAATAAATAAAATAAATTATTTCCATATTTTTTTTTTACTTTCAGACATAATTTTCAATTTAGCAATAGTTTAGTATCTCTGAAGGAATGGAAAATACAGTAGGGAAAAAAGAAACAAAAAATTCTCCACCAACTGTACCAACAAGCAATATCATGAAAAACAAAGTAAGGAGAGAATTACCTCTCTTCAACTTCAGTTGCAGGTGTGGTGAGAAGCTTCCAACCTTCGCTAGTTATAAACACCATTTATATTTGCACTCAGTAGAGACAGATAATGAAAAGCCATTCAGATGTGATGTTTGCATGCAAACATTTAATGACCTGTTGAGTTTAACATTGTCACCATCTACCAGTAATGGATTAATCTGTTGTGTTTGTAAGAATGGACTGTCATCAGAAAATCATGTAGTTAACGAAGTACACAGTGAAGTATTGCAGCCTACAGAGTTAAACTGTGTTCAGGAGCATTCAGCAGAGAAGCTGATTGAGTGTGATACTCTTAAAAGATTTTGTTTTGAAAAAGACTACAATCAGCACAAATCAAATCATGCTGGAGGTAGGACATTTCTGTGTGATAAGTGTCCCGAAATGTTCATAAGTAAATCTCTCTTAGTTAAGCACAGAAAACTTCATACTAGAAAGCATTTATTAAAATGTGATGTGTGTTCTAAATTGTTCAAGAATACATATCTCTTACTTTTTCATAAAAAAATGCATACTGGTGTAAAACCATTTGAGTGTAAAAATTGTTGTGAAAGATTTACTTGGAAATGTCAATTAATGCATCATAAGAAGAAACATAATTTACATAAACCTTTCAAGTGTCCTGTGTGTTTCAAAAGGTTTGAAGCTAAATATACATTAGTAAAGCATAAAATGTTGCACACTGCTGAAAAAATATTTGCATGTGATTTGTGTACTCGAAAGTTTGCCAACAAGTGCTATTTAAGCTGGCATAAGAAAATTCATAAGAATAAACCAATCAAATGTAAGAAGATTAAAATAGTACGGACTGATATGAGAAAATTTTTATGTGAATTATGCCCAAAACTATTTTACCAAAATAATGAATTAATCAAACATCAAACAGTGCATACAGGTGAGAGGCCATTCAAATGTGAATTTTGTTCTAGAGGTTTTACTCGAAGATATGATATGATTCAGCATGAAAGATTGCATACAGGGGAAAAACCATTTAAATGTGATTTGTGTTCTGAAGAATTCACTCGAAAAAGTGATTTGAGGCTTCATAAAATTCGCCATACAGGTAAAAATCCTTTTAAGTGTGATATGTGTCCTAAAGATTTTCTAAGAAATATTTCTTTAGTTCGTCATAAATTCAAGCATGCTGAGAGAAAAAAGACTTTCCATTGTGATCTGTGTCCTAGAAAGTATACTCGGCCTGACGACTTAAAGCATCATAAAAAAGTGCATACAACTGAAGCACTGTATAAGTGTGACATTTGTCCTAAAAAGTATGTATTTAAAACTGATTTGATTAAGCATATAAAATTTCATTCAGAAAGAAAAGCACTTGAGTGTGATATTTGTCTACAGAAATTTCATTATGAAAGTAAGTTAAAAAAGCATAAACAAGAACATACTGGACAGAAACGGTTCATGTGTGATCTTTGTAATAAAGGTTTTAAAAGCAAGTACCTTTTAGTAAGGCATCAACATGGCCATATTGGAGAAAAGCCATTTGAATGTGGTCAGTGTCAAAAGAAATTTCTTAATAAGTCTAGTTTAGTTAAACATCAATTAACCACCAATAAGACTATTTTTAAATGTCCATCATGCTTTAAAATTTTTTTCTGTGAAACAGATTTTATTGAGCATCAACGAGAGTTTTCAGGATTGGTGTGCACTTTGTGTCAGAGGCATTTTAAAAAAGAAAGAAGTTTGAATGCTCATTATAGGAAACATAGAAAAATGTCTGCCTTAGTGTGTGTAAAGGAAGGAAAAAACTAACTTTAGATGGCATGGTTGAGCAGTAGAACACTTAATCACAGACCTAATTGTATTGAGTTTGGTTCAGGAGGTCAAGCTGTTGGGTACCTTATTGAGACTGGACATAGTGATGACCACACATATCTTTATTATTCAGAGGTCAAGGACACAAACTCTACTTCATCTATCCAATAAACTATCAAGTCATTATATTTCAAAGCTAAGTTGAAGAAAGTTATTTAGAATTTAAGCTTGTGCCATAAACAGAACAAAATTTTCAGTAGTCATGTGTTAAACAATATCTGTCATTGTAAATTTTTATCAGAAAAATAGCCATAATATAACCTGTATAAATGAACTAATTACTGGCTAAGCTTCTGAAATCAGATTAAAACATATTATCCTTGGGGCTAATCTTTAAAGCTTCATTTTATAAAGTGTGGAATCAATTCTTTTTTAAAATTGCAATTCACAGTCTTATCTTCATTATATTTTTTAATTTTTATTTCACATGTATTTTGATTTAAACTCAATGACCAGTTTTTTCTTTCACTTGTATTTTGATGTATACTTATGACCAAATTGTCTGGTCTTTTTAGCCCAGTAGCTTAATTATTACTTATTGGCAGAAAATATTCCTGTTGATAATTAAATGTAATTAAATGTACAAGGAAAATATTAAAGGATTTCAAAGGATGCTAGAAATATTTTCTTTTCATAATATTTTCTTTTCACATTCATTTCAAATATTTGATAAATGTTTGGTTTTAACAATAACTTTTACCAGAGTTTGGTACATTTTAGAACTGGTGCACCATCATTTTGTATACCAAGTAAACCTAGATAAAAATCATATTCTAAATACGTATTATTAGTATTATTACTATATGTTTTATAAATCCTTTTTGACTTATAAAAGAAATGTGTAAAATGATTTTGTACTATTTGTAGATCCTATATTTTTTATTTTTTTATAATTGGTTTTAGATTTTCTTAGTGGTAAATCTCATCAATAATTTTCATATATATTTATAAATATTTACAGTAGGTTAAACTTGAGCTAATCAATGGCTAGATCAAGCAATAGAACATATGATCACTAACATACAAGTCTTGAGCTCAGTTCACGATCTTATGCAATCAGCTGAAATAGTTAATTTATGAATTAATTAATTAATGTAAGAGGGGCTAGACAAAATGCTGATTACACTATCCCTTTGTATAATCAGATCAGAAAAATAGATTCTACTTCACCTGCTCCATAAATCACCTGGACATATTGCTGATCTTTTACTATGACCTTTTACATGCTAAGGTCAAAGAAACAGAACAATTCTACTTCATGTACCATCTTGTCAAAATGTGTAATTTATTTGTGATATGTTGATTTTTTTTAAAATTACAAAAAAATTTAATAACAAACATTTACTGCAAATTTATTCATATACTTTTTATAATTTTTTAACAAATATAAATAACTATTAAAAAAACAAAATGTATCATGCAAAATATTACAAATATATTTTTTATGTAAAAATAACCATATTTTTTTTTTGCTCTAAAATTTACCAAAAAAAGGATAGGTCTAAAATTAGCATACATAATAACCATGAAATGCTGTTATTGCATTATAGCTTTCCAATTTAACTATATTGTGTACTTACTCTCAGTATTGAAGAAAATTGTTTTCATTTATATTTTAAGTTTTCAAGTGTTGTTTTGACTGGCCATTTGACTAATTGATGTATGGTAGTTGTATTTTTAAAAAAAATTAATCTTATTAGATAATTTTTGAAAAATTAGAATTTCTTTTGTTAACTACTGTCATAACTAAAATGCAACTTTTTTCTTGGAGCGTTCAATAACTCTTGAAGTCAATAACTCTTGGAGTCAATAACTCTTGGAGTCAATAACTCTAATTATTTTTTTTAATAATATGTTCTATATTTAATTTGACTAAATATAATTATTTTCTTTGAACTTCTGTTTAAAATAGAAAATTTTGTAATGTATTTAAAATTTTATAATGAATTTAGAATCATGTAATATATATTATTATACTTTTTCATCAATTATAATAAAATGCTTTTTTACTTATGAAGTATATGAAGTATAGAGGAAGTTTTATAATGTGCAAAAAATTGAGATTTTCATAAATCCTGACATTTTACATCTCATTGAGTCAAAAAAACTTAGTTTAGCAATTTTGTCTGTGCGTCTTTCATTTTGAAATATGATAACTGGAGTACCGTTTTAGTTATGTTGACGGAATTTATATATATGTAGGTATCAAATATGTAGTTCTGTATCCACTTTTGAACAACTTCTAGTGCACATATTTTACAAAAAGTTTTATTAAAATAGTTATTCCATAAAAAAATGTTTTTTTTTTTAAATTTAAATTCAATTTTTTTAGAACTTGATTTTGGAAAATGAGCAACAGTTAAAAGAAACAGGTTAGCTCATAGCACACACAATTTTCAACTTGAGGAATAAGGCATTTGGTTCTGTCATTGTTAGCTTCATTTTATTTTTTTTTAAATGTAAAACAAGCAACTGCAAAATAAAACCAATTGTAATTTTCTAAGGCAGTTTGTTTCTTAAATCGTTAAATTACAAAAACCAAAATTTTAAAATAAAATATCAAATTTTGTGTGTGTTAAATTTTAGTTTCTGGCAAAGTTCATCAAAAGCAATGTTGAACTGACTGCAACATATTAATCTAATCAACTTTATGTTCTTGTTTGGTTTCTTGAATAAAAAGATTATTTTAAAAATCCGGGTGTTGCTTTCATTAATTTTAAAAACACCATTCCTGTGTATTCTTTGGTGCATATAACATGTGATGTTTAATTAGTTGAAATGGTTGCTAATAAAATGTTGTTATACACAATGCATACAAATTTCTATCAAATATTAAAATGTTTCTGCAGTCTGACACTAGTTTCAAAGGTCGTGCAATTGAAGCATTTCCTTTTTCTTGTTACATTTGCGTAATAAAAAAAATGTTGCTACACATAACTTTAATAAAGCTAGATACACTTTTGTGGAATATTAGTTTTATAAAAACTTTTTTTTGTAATGTTAATTAAAAAAAAAATTAATTAAGAAAGTAAAATGTATGGTCCTACGTAACTTAAACCCCCCCCCCCCCCCCCCCCCTTTTCAGTGTGATAGTCATTTTGGACATTCAAAGGGGTTCGGCGTGGTCGAGTCGGTAAAGCTCATGGTTGCTAAACCGAAAAGTCTCGAGTTCGAACCCTCGGGCAGATGAGGCTCGTTAGCTGGGGACAGCCACTCTTCTAGGAGAGACAACTCCAAAATTAAACAACTGCTGCCTTGTAGTTTGTTCTTGGTTGGACAAAGGCTATGGAAGCAAATCCAAAAAGAAAAGCAGGCTGAAATCGGAGTCAATGGCCTCAATGGCGCATAACCAGTTGACACGTAACGCTTAATTGTGTTGGAGGCGTGGTCGAGTCGGCAAAAAGCTCATGGTTGATAAATTCGAACAAAGTCTCGAGTTCAAACCCACTGGCAGATAAATCTCGATCCCCTTCAACACTAATAATTAAGAACAAAGAAGAAGAAGAAGGACATTCAAATGCTAATTAGCTTGTAAGAAAAAGAACTTATCCTTTACATTAAGCCTTTCCTAATATTGAAAAAAATGATGGAAGTTTTTTTTTACTAACTATATTCTTCCCAAAATGTCTGGATCTATATATATCAATAAAGTTAAATGACTCACTCCTTATACACATTTAAGATGATTCATACAGATAAATATAGTTACACTTGTTTTACTTTCACAATACCGTAACAAAGCCATGAATACTAACTGAAAAAAAAACAACTACACATTAAAAATTGCAGTATTTGTAAAAGAAGGTATTAATAATTAAAGAAACTAAACTATTTTATTTTTTTTAAAGTTAAAATAGTAAACATGTTGACCTTTTTATACTGGTATTTTGTAAAAAAAAAATTTTAAAAATTGTAAAAAAAAAATTGAAATGAGAAAATGTCCATTCACATTTAGATCATACACAGGGTCAGAGAAAGTTCAGACCACAGACATAAAAACAATGAAAAGATACATTTTTTGAATTTTTTGAAAGCTGAACAGTACTGATCCGTTCAGACCAAGTCTTAATCAGCAGTGCAGGGACAGCAAATTATAAACATACTGATCACGTGACTGGCAGCCACACAAAAATACATCCATAGAATGCTCTTATCGTATTGTTGCTAATGCTTTTTAAAAATCTGCAAACAATACAAAATATCCAAAACAAAATATTAAGGCCTAAAATCCAGTGTAGGCTACTATCAGTTTTGCAAACAACAAAGACAACAGCTAAACCAGTGTATTAAGTTGTGTAGCAGTCTATTTTCTTTATTTTGACTGTATAATACAGAATTGCAGCCAAAGCTTTTTTTTTAAAATCCCTGTTGGCGCGCTTCAGTGTTGGCGCCCCCTCAGTGTCTGCGCCCTACCCACCCTCCCCAAGCTGACCACACCATCCCTTCATTTGCAGAGGTCAAGAAACTCTACTTCATCTGCACTGAGGATCATTAGGTCTGAAAGGGGAATGTAATGGTTTAATTTTGTTCCATTCATTTGTCTTCCCAACATTATTTTTTATAGTACCCGTTTTAAGTGGACAGTTATCTTAGAATTATTATTAAGATTAACAAACCATTGAATGGGTGCACACTCTGGAATCAGCTGGATTATCTAGACTTTTCTGATTATCTGGCCCTCTTCTCACACACAATAGTGATTGCAAGATAACACCAACTGTGATGCTATTTCACTACTGCCTCCATGGAGTGAAAATTAAAGTTCTTAATTAAAGTCAAGACTTCAAGCACAACTCCTATAATATTGGCAGAGAATGCCTTAGAAAAAGTGGAAAGCAAGATGAGACAGAAATACATAAAATTAGGCAAAAGCAGCTTTTTCACAAACTAATGTGATTTTTCTCTTGGAATAAAAATACTTGTCTTCAACACAATAGTAAAACTTGTTTTACTCTATTGTTACGTTCAGGGTTCGTTTCAAATCAACAACAACACTTCGTGTATAACTTTACTACTTTTATTCGTCTCAATGCATTCAAGCGTACCAGAACAGCCCTCGTCCTAACCGCTACTAACCCGCTGACTGCCCACAATCGTTTACTTGCCCTTTTATACCCGCATTCGACCTTGGGATTACAAGACATAAACACACAAGGTTAACTACACAGTAGGGTGAACTCCACTCACACACGCACTCTCCCCTAATTCTAGACTATTCTAACCTATTCTAATCTAACCTACAACTGACCCGTAACACTACCCCCCACCTAAGTAATTGTAGTAATAACTACAAATACTGACTAACAAAACCTAGCTAAATAAAATAACACAAAGCCTTTCATACACATACACTAGTACACAAGTTAAAAATATACATTCCGAAGAATGTATATGTCAGATTGTATATACAATGAAATACATAATGACAATATACAGAACTGCTACAATTTCGAGCTAGCACAAATCATTCGTGTAAGTAACAAACAAAAACAATCATACACACCCAGTTGCATTGTACCGAATCTAAGAACTTTCCACACCAAAATTGTTCAGTCTACCCTGTGCGCTCTCTGGCTACACTGGTTTATGACTCCTACCCATATCTCAACCATTCCACATCACAAAAAATTTGAGTCTACCCTGTGCGCTCTAGGGCTACACTGGTTTATGACTCCTACCTATATCTCAACCACTCTACAAAAATTTGAGTCTACCCTGTGCGCTCTCTGGCTGCACTGGTTTATGACTCCTACCTACATCTCAACCATTCTACATCACACAAATTTGAGTCAACCTGCGCTCTATGGCTACACTGGTTTATGACTCATACCCTATATCTCAAACATTCTACATCACAAAAATTTGAGTCAACCTGCGCTCTATGGCTACACTGGTTTATGACTCATACCCTATATCTCAAACATTCTACATCACAAAATGTTCAACTCAGTCGATGTTGTTACATACTCTGTCAAACAGCTATAGCGTCGGGCTAACGGCATCCCCACAGCATCCAGCAAACGTCAGGACAGCAACCGGCAAACGTCAGGACAGCATCAGGCAAACGTCAGGACAGCAACCGGCAAACGTCAGGACAGCATCAGGCAAACGTCAGGACAGCATCAGGCAAACGTCAGGACAGCATCAGGCAAACGTCAGGACAGCATCAGGCAAACGTCAGGACAGCATCAGGCAAACGTCAGGACAGCATCAGGCAAACGTCAGGACAGCATCAGGCAAACGTCAGGACAGCATCAGGCAAACGTCAGGACAGCATCAGGCAAACGTCCGGACAGCATCAGGCAAACGTCAGGACAGCATCAGGCAAACGTCAGGACAGCATCAGGCAAACGTCAGGACAGCATCAGGCAAACGTCAGGACAGCATCAGGCAAACGTCAGGACAGCATCAGGCAAACGTCAGGACAGCATCAGGCAAACGTCAGGACAGCATGCGGCAAACGTCAGGACAACATGCGGCAAACGTCAGGACAGCATCAGGCAAACGACAGGACAGCATCAAGTCTTTGCTTTTACTTATTTCATACTGGCCACCAGTTGTTACGTTCAGGGTTCGTTTCAAATCAACAACAACACTTCGTGTATGACTTTACTACTTTTATTCGTCTCAATGCATTCAAGCGTACCAGAACAGCCCTCGTCCTAACCGCTACTAACCCGCTGACTGCCCACAATCGTTTACTTGCCCTTTTATACCCGCATTCGACCTTGGGATTACAAGACATAAACACACAAGGTTAACTACACAGTAGGGTGAACTCCACTCACACACGCACTCTCCCCTAATTCTAGACTATTCTAACCTATTCTAATCTAACCTACAACTGACCCGTAACATCTATGGATTTGAGACATGGCGAATAACTGCCAAAAATTAGAAAATTTAGTCATTTATAAACTCATTCCTCAGAAAGATCGTTTGAATTTGCTAGCTTAGTACCATCTAAAGTAATGTACTATTGCAATGGACAAACCAACTGCCAGCTGAAGAAGAAATCATCCAGAGACAATGGAGATGCAATGGCCACACAGGAAGCCTGCATCTGGCACAGCAAGCAAGACAGGCCCTCACCTGGAATTCAAAGGGCAAAAGAAAAACAAAGAAGACCTGGAGACGTGGCCTGTAAGATGACACAAAGAAGATTAGATACACCTGGTGACAGTTGGAGAGACTAGCCCAGCACAGAGATCCTTGGAAAGCTCTTATCAGCAGCCTATGTCCCATGAGGGCACCTCATTCACAACTTATAACAAACCAATATCGTAAAAAAAATTATTAAAAGGTTCTTTCTTAAGGCCATATTTTCTTTTATGATTTTATGTATATAACATAGCAACATGTTTAATTACAGCAACAAAATTATTTACAAAGGCCATGTTTTCTTTAATGATTTTTTTTGTATGTTACATAACAACATGTTTAATTACAGCAACAAAGTTATTTATAAAGGCCATATTTTCTTTAATCATTTTTTGTATATTACATAACAACATGTTTAATTACAGCAACAAAGTTATTTATAAAGGCCATATTTTCTTTAATGATTTTTTTGTATGTAACATAGCAACAAGCAAATGTTTACAAATAGCAACAATGCTTAATATCCTACATATATAAGATAGGCTTCCAGACACACAAATTGATACTGCACTAGTAAAAAATATTAAAACAAAAGCCAGGAGTATACAGTTAAAATGTCTAATTCTGCAGACTTTGTAAATGAAAGGAAATACAATTACCATAATTAGTTTGTTTTATAACAGGTAAAATGGTATTTTAAAACAGGTAAAGTTGTAGACATTATTTTTTTTTAAATTCATTTTACAGAAAGAAAAAAATATACCCATTTTAACAAATTAGATTTGAAAAATAAAATTATAAAAAGAATGCATGAAATAATTAAGTCTAATAATACCATTTTAAGTGTGTACAATAATATTTTACCCCCATCGTGTGCTGTTAAGTACATCCAGATTTTGTGTACAAAATATGATGTTTTTTAGCTTCCTAATAAGAAATATACATAGCCTATACACACTTCTCCATGCATACACACAGAATACCCATTGAGTTGTATTAGCATATAGATTGAATTTGGTTTTTAAGAAAACTTAATATCTATTAATTGGAATACACATTTTTTAAGTAAATCTCCCAAAAAAGGTACCTTCTTGAATGTACACACATTACTTTAGAGAGGTTTAACAATAACAATTAGCTATGTCAAACTAGTATGTTTAGTTTTGTGTTTGTTTAAAGCAGCCTTTGAACAAAATTTTTGGAGGCATACATCACAATCGTATGGCTTCTCTCCTGTATGAACTTGCTTATGTTTGTTCAGGGCTTTTCTTACAACAAATCTTTTATTACAAATATTGCATTCATATTTCTTTTCCCCTGTATGAGATTTTAAGTGAAGGACGAGTTGACTTTGTTGAGTAAATTTCTTTTTGCACACTTCACATTCAAATTGCTTCTCGCCTGTGTGTATTCTACTGTGGTTTTTTAGTGTATTCTTAAGAGAAAACTTTTTGAAACATACATCACACTCATACGGCTTTTCTCCTGTATGAATCCTTTGGTGCTGTTTTAAATGAGTCAGGCGAATAAAAGCTTTACTACATACATCACATAAAAATGGCTTCAATCCAGTGTGTAAATTTTTATGTTTTTTTAAAGTATTTTTATCAGAAATTTTTTTAAAACAAATGTCACATTCAAACAGCTCATTACGAGAATGTATTAGTTTATGATTATTTAAACTAGCTTGACTTGAAAGTATTTTTTGACAAATTTCACACTGATATGCATTACTATCTGCGTGCAGCCTTGCGTGCTGATTGAGTGCGCTTTTATGACGAAATTTCTTAGGGCACAAGAGACACTCAAACAGAAACTGTTCTGTATGACTCCTTTTATGCAATTTTAAATGACTGTTACGGTAAAAACTTTTATTGCATATGTCACATTCAAATGATTTTACACCAGAGTGAATTAGTTTGTGTTTAACTAAGCTTCCCTTATCGATGAACTTTTTAAAGCAAGCATTGCATTCAAACGGCCTTTCTCTAGAACTGGAATGTATTTTTTCGTGATTTTTCAAATAAGATGAACTTGTTAATTTTTTAAGACAAACTTTGCACTGATATGCATTCTCGTCTGCATGTAATCTTTTGTGACTATTTAAATTCCAACTTAATCTAAACTTTTTAGAACAAATATCACACTCAAATGGTTTCTCGCCAGTATGAATCCTTTTGTGTTGAATTAAATGAGTATTAAGGGTAAAGCCTTTATTGCATACATCACATACAAATGACTTCACACCAGCGTGAATTTTTTTGTGATTATTAAAGGTACTTTTAGTAGAGAACTTTATAGAACACAAACTACACTCAAAAGGCTTCTCTTCTGTATGAATTCTCTGGTGTTTATTTAAATTTTCTTGACTGGCAAGTATTTTTTTACAAATTTGACACTGAAAAGTACTTTTGCATGTGTGTAATTTTTTGTGATGATATAAAGTACTTTGCTGGCAAAACATTTTAAGGCATACATCACAAGAAAATGTCTCTAGGCGAGTGTCAAGCTCTGATAACGTTTGCCTTGTGTGAATAGATTTGTGGCGATTAAGATGGCCTTTGCTAGAAAATACTTTTTGGCACACATCACACTTATGAGAAATAGCAGTTTCTTCCAAAGTGTGCAACAACACATGTGATTTCATTTTAGCTAAATTCTGGAATTTTCTATTGCACATACAGCAAATAAAATTGTATTTTACTGAAGCATAACTAATTCTACTATATAAATACCTTTTAAGTACATGTCTACGAACATGTGCTTTTAACGTAACAATATGATCAAAATTTTTGTTACAATCAACACACTGAAATGCGTTTTTAGCCAAATGGTTTTCTATGTGTTTATCTAGCTGAGATACTAATAGAAAGGTATCATTACAAACATGACAGTGAAATTTTTTTGTTTTACTTCCAACTTGTTCAACAAGTTCTGAGATACACTCCTGTTTTTTGAAACTGTTTTCTAAACTTTCATCCAATTCTTCTTTCAATAAACCTGAAGTGAGAGCTGTTGCAGTAGTTAGTCTCTGTTCATCAGTCAAATCAGACTTTATTTTGCATAATTCTTCAAGGTGACTTGTCTCATTTAATGAAATTTTATGCTGCTCATTGTAAGTTTCACAACTGTTAAAACTTCCACACAGTTCTTCTTTTATTACATCTGAACCCACAGATGCTGACCTAGTTGATCTTTGAATATCTGTAAAATCCTTGTGAAACTCTGACTTAATTTCAGATAAGACTTCAAAAATACCAGACTCATCTGAAGTTTTGGGTTGATGTATTGTTGTTGCATCAGGAAGCACATTATCCATTGGTTCTAACTTGATAAGAAGCTCTTCATCCTCCATCTTAATTCGTAAAGAATTCTTTGATGGTTTAATCTGAAGATATTTTTAAAATTATTAATAACTATTGAAAATAAAACACTAATAGATTTATCACAGTACAAAAAGGAATTATAGTAACAAGTTGACCCGGCGTATCATACGCCGATATTTAGTTTATTTTAATTTCTACTATTCTGTACTTCATAGTTAGTGAATTCGACACTACCCTCCCTTCCACCTCCCCCCCCCCCCCCCCCTGAAAGCAGCCGTCCGTGATGACAGTTTACAGATGACAATGAAAAGATCAAGCAGAACTTCTTACATCTCCTCAGTTTCAAATAGTTTAAAAGCTTAATTATCTGCTTCTAATAGCTGTTACTAATTCAACCAGGCTCTACGATTGTAAACATTCGGGGTGAACCTTAGCTCACCAGATTGGTGGGAGCTATATACCTAGAGAGCTGGGGAGTAACGGCGTGGGTTTACGTGGTGTCTCGCATGGTCCCCATGAAGAAATATATATTATAGTAATGTGAGACTAACTTTTTTTAATCATTGATTTACAATTATATATTGAAAAACAAATGTTCCAAGTAAATTATTTTAACCCTTGCCTGTGCAACATATTTGGTACCCTGTCCCTGGCAATTGGATGGATCACGCCCATAATCAATCTCAGAGTAAATTGGGTAACAACACTGTTCAAGTATTAAGGGTATAGTGGCCATGGAAAACCCAGGCATGTTATTGTCAATGGGAGAGATATAACATGATAGTACAGGTTGTCCTGTGGTCTCTCTCATTAAGATATATTTTCTGCACATAAATTAAAAAATTATACAACCAATAGCAGGATGGGAGAGAAAGCAGAGAGACCCTGGCGCTCAGCAGAAAAGCATTTAGTTGAATATCAATTCAGTTCTGTTCATGGTGTTTTTTTAAGGCAGCATTTTCTATGAAGAAACTCAGCAGCCTTCTGAATCATATTCAATTTGACAACAATGGCACTAGGTCAGCCTATTAGGCTCTTGGTATATTTGTCCCCGTAAGAAATATATGGGAGATATTCCTTAGAAATTTCTTAGAAACATATGAAGGTATTATAATTATGTTTCTTGAGATGTCATAGGTGTAATTGAACAACTGGTTGATTTTTGAGGCAGAAATAGATTTATCCAATATATACCAAGCAATGTTGATAAGTATGGAAAGATATTTTGTGCATGTGGCACATATAACTCCACTGCTAGAATGTCCATATTTTGGTAAATAAAAAAAAGTTCCCTATCAGCAAACAAAATATGCAGTTATTTTTATTTTAACTTTGCTCTCTGAACTGTACATTTTCAAAAAGGTGATCAATTTTTATTTTTATAAATGATTATTTTTTGTTACCCTAGTAACTACAGATTGTTAATTTATAGTTAACCTCTGAATAAGAATCACAATACCTATGCAAACGAGCAAAAACTACTAATTTTTAGAAGCCCATACATGAATTATAAAAAAATTTCCATTCAAAATGTGTGTAACACCCAGTTGACAGGGACTGTATGAAAAATTTCAAACCCCTATAAAAAAATATTTCTGCATGTTATTTAAATTAGTACCCTCCAATGTGTTTATTCCAACTACCTTATAGATGAAATTGAGAAAAATTAATAAAATGAAACATGAGATTTGAGCAAAAATATAGCTTCACTGGATGAATTCACCCAGTTGCCCCCAAAATGTGAAATTGCAATTATTAAAAAGTACCTAATAATTTATAACTTTGACTAGATTACATTAACTATATATAAAGGCGTAGCGATCTATTTAGGTACCCAGGGGCAAACTATCAATTTTGCGCCCCATCTTCAAATTAGACCTATATAAAAGTATTTGCGTTGGAGAAAATGCACCCCCACCTCCCTAGATTGAAAAGGTTGGGGCATTTTTATCCAGTGTTTCTTCCAGAATTTGTTCTCCAGGAGGGGGCACTTAAAATTTTCCGTATATATATATATATTTTCTATATAAATTCCATTTCGCTCGGGCGGTAGACTTTCTGGGGGGGTGGGGTAGGGTGTGTGGTCGTTTTAATAAGTTTTGCCTAGGGCACTAAATAACCTGGCACCGGCACTGGTTGTTGCAGAACAGTTTCATTCAACTGTAAAGCAAATTTGGATGCCAGTATTTCAATTATTGTAATCTTTACCACGGATAGAGCAAAGATGTTTAGGAAAAAGTATCATAAATACTTCAGAGGGATAAATCAGATATTAAAACACAGGTCCGAATAGTCTCTCCCTCACTATTTTCTGACTCTGCGAGCCCAAATATTGTTTGCAAGGACAGACTTTCAGTTAATAACCTGTAAGTTATGACTTTACGGGATAACTGACATGGGTTCCCCTTAGCTATGCTGCCCAATGTGTTGTTGAACAATATATTACTTTTGTGATCTTTAGAATTAGGGATCTATTTCAAGAAAAATGTCAGAAGAACAATAAATAATGCATTAAAAATGTAGGTTAATACTCTTTAGGGCTAAATTCTTAAATTGTAATGGTACTTACTATTATACATTTTAATTTAATATAGATTAAATCTAGTAGGCCTAATTTCTCTATGTAGTCAATGTGTAGGCTAATTAAACTTATATTACTGAACCGAAATAAATGTTGGATGCAAATATTTAATTCTAATAGATTACTCAGGTCTGAACAGAAAAAGAAACAGAGTCTAGAATCTAGTCTAGATCTAATTGCTGAGTGTGATAGGTCTAAATATTTTATGGCAGGAAACAGATCCAATCCTCAAATGTCTATTTTTAGGGTCAATTTTTGTCAATTTTCAAAGTAACAAATATTGACATATTGTATATCAATTTTGTTGCTTAACAATCGAGGAATTCAAAAATATAAAAATTAATAGCACTAGGCATTTACATCACATTAACCACACTCATTCAGCTGATAACATTTTTTTTTACATCTCAATGTAGATCTAGTGAGGTCTGAAAATCCATAAAATTCACAATATCAACACACAGAATTACACAGAAATTTCTGAGAAATGTCACCAAATCATAAACTTATTTGTAATTATGTCAAACTTGACAAAATATACCACTTTATAGCTTATTTCTATAACTATTTTTAAAAATGTTCAAAATTTTGGCTTTTAGAAACACTATGGGAACGAAAAATAACAGAGTTAAATATATAATAATATATATAAAACATTATTAGTAAAATATTTCATTAAGCCAATTATAATTGTTTAGTACTTTAAACATTAATTAAAAGTTACGACTATCTGAGGCCTAATTCAAATAGTGTAGTGTGGGTGAACTGGGTGTTAGGGCCTGACACGTTTTCATTAGAATTGGTAATGAACAGATTGTATAATTTAGTATAATTAAAACTGGCCCATAAAACAATGTTGATAATAGATGCAGTCTTTTTAATGCTACTTATAATAGATCAAATGACAATCATAAATTAAAACCTAAGAATCTGGGAGCGGTGACCTCATTTTACTGACACGGTTGTCAAATAGATCTAGATCAGGGGTCTCCAAACTACGGCCTGCGGGCCAGATGCGGCCCGCGAGGTCCTCTCATCCGGCCCGCGGAGATCTTTTTGTCCACAGAAAAAAACGTTTGTTGGTGATGGCTGAGGAATTTTTGCCCAGAAAAATCAAAGACATGCCTGGAAGAAACTGGCCCCCGAAGTGAAATTTGATAGTTAATGCGGCCCTCGGACTGAAAAGTTTGGAGACCCCTGATCTAGATCTACGTAATTTTAAAAATATGCTAGATCTAGAAGCAAAAGCACTGTTAAAAACTGAAGTTAGTAATTAGATCTATAATGAAATTGAAATCCACAACCAGAGTTCGTACTACTTTTTGAAAATGAAATTCCCGACTTTTCCCAGAAATTTTTGGAGAAATTCCAGACTTTATACAGATAATGTGTTAGCGAATAATTTATAAAATGATGCAACATTCAAACTCTCATTATAATTACTTATACTAAATTGACATTTATTTTAGGCAATTAAGCTATATTTCTCTAGCCAAATTGACAGAAAATAACTTTTCCTACTCCACCTAAAATTTTAATAATTAAAATTATGCAACTATTTCGTTTCCAACATTAGACTTATATAATCTGTACATGATCTAATTGCCTATGTTTTCAATCAAACCATTATTAAAATGGTATTGCATAATAGTGAGAGTTAATTAATTTAAAGAATTATAATAATGTAATGTATTAATTTAGGTCTGCTTTTGTTGAGTAGCCTAATATAGGCTACTTGTAAAGAAAAATTTGGAGCAAAAAATAAATTTAAAAAAAAAATCTGCAGGCTGCAACCACATCATTCACTGTTTATGCCTATAGCTCAGAAACGGGTCAGCAATAAAAAAAAAATGCCGGTATCCTTCATCCCCCCCCCACCACAAGACACGGTGAAGAGGTCACTGTTAAGGTCATAGAAGTCTAGACTTCAGTGTGCCTGTTTAATATGTCATAGCATGAACTGTGATGTGACTTATACCCCCCCCACCCTCCTTACCATACAGTACCAACTACGCACTTAGGGTCACGGTGAGTTCACACTAGTGACCGTAGTTACAAGAAGGGGCGGGGTAGTCTAACTTTAATGGAGGGGGGAGGGGTAAAAAAAAATGGACTTTTGTGGACTGGGGTGTTTGGGTCTGTGCCAACGTCCACAAGTTACACTTAACATCGCAGTGCATGGTATTTATATCTACCCTAACATTATTGCAAGAGCGTGTCGTCACACTTTCTGAAACCCTCCTCCCGACATTTCGGAGTGTGACGTCATTTATGGGCGACTCCTAAATAAAAATAGTACCTCTTTGGTAAGCGACCGGCTGAAGCAAACAGAAATACAGGAGGCCTTGCGACTTATTAATCTTATAAATGCTAATATTAATTATTACATCCAACGAAATGAACGCGTGTGGACAGGTGGCGAGAGGGGGTGGGGGGTTAAAATCCGAAACTTTTTTGGACGTCATAAATGAATAACCCCTTACAACTACAGACAGATAAATTATATCTGAGCTACCACTCCAACACCTCCCACATAATTTTTTGTTATGACTGCTTGCATGCAAACTCAAACAATTAAAAATAGCGGCTAAAATTGAGAGCCTAACAATTCTGAGGGCGATCATTCTTTCATTAAATGACAATTTTTAAAATACTCGTAACAGATTCACACGGTCAGTCGCGCCACAAAATATCTCTTCCCTCCCCTTCCCCTCCCTTTGTCGTAGCATCTGAACATCCGTTTTTTCTGCGAACCAGCAAAAAACACCACAACACAGTGTAGACCTGCGCAAAGGCGCGGGGAAAAAATTGGAGTAAATTCACTTAAAAATAGCAGTTGGAAAATGTGGACTTCGTGGAGAAGTTTTGTTTCTAAAACTGAATTCTAGACTTTTTCCAGACTTTTAAAAAATCCAGCCCAAAAACTAGCAATTTTCAAGACTTTTTAAAGTCTGAAATTCACTTTTCTAAATTCAAGACTTTTTCCAGCCTTTCCAGGCTGCGTACGAACCCTGCACAACTAATATGTAAGTATAGTTTGATTTAACGTTTAAAAAAAATACACGTGTTTCTAAAGAAAACAATAATTCTACGTTGTACTTGAACCCCATAACTAAACATGCCAGCCATATTGCAAGCATAGTCAGCTACTCGGCTGCATACCAAATCTACGAATTTTTAACATATATAATAAAAGTAGGTCACCCTAAAAAAATAAGTAAAATGGCACCCGTTTCCACAACAGCCGACACTCGATTAATAGTTTAAAGAGTTATAAAGTTATACTTTCTATTGGCTATAGATTTAAAGAAATATTTATGTTATTTCTCATGCATTCCAACAATTGTGCCTAATGTTATCTAAGAGTAAACATTAGATTAGTTAGGACTAGATTATTTTTAGAATTAGCCCTCGACACTAATGTGAGGAAACAGACTCCCCCGAAGGCTGGTTCAGTGGGTGAAAATTAAAACCGACAGAAATTTTTTATTTTAAAATAATTACATTATCAATTAATTTCGATTTAACACAAATGTCTGAAAGTCGAAAGTAAACTTAAATTTTAAAACTTTGTTATTCGCAGTGTACTCAAAGTTCTCTTGTTTTAATGATAAGTATGGTTTGCTGGCATAAAGCGAATATCAATTCTTTACGACAGAAAAATGCTAAAAATAAAAAAATATAACTACTGCAAAATAAAACATTTCTTTTACAAATTTAAATAGATTTCACAAAACTGATATAAAAATACCTGTTGAAACCTACAATATTTATTCCCAACAAAAAATCAGCATTTTCCACGTTAAATCTGCATTATCCACGTTGCTGAGGTAATGTAATTCTAAGCGTTTTTTTTTTTCATTTAAAAGTTAAAATATTGAAAAAAATGACTTTTTCTTACATTTATCAATTAGCCTACAGTAGGCCCTATTCATATCTTTAAAAAAATCTAATTAAAGTTATCAAAGTAAAGAAAAAATTGTTCCTTAGTTTATTTTTAAAGTACATGTAAACCCAAGTAGACGCCTTCTGCCGTGATTTGTGTACTTTGTATGCTTCGCCAAGGCATAAAATATTGTCAAAAACAAAATCGTCAAAAATATTGCTCTTAAAGCTTCCAAAAATTATGTTTTACCTATCAATATTAATAAAATCACCAAACAATGTAGGGTTAAGAAGACTATCAATGGCGAAGATCAAATATGCATTTTAGAGGTACAAATCTGTTTCCTGCCGTGGTGAACGGAAAAAAGTAACAGGAAAAAAAAAAACACAGAAAAAAAGCCAGTTTTTGCTAGGAAAAAGTCACAGAAAAAGTCAAAATGGAAAAATGTTATTGGAAAAAAAGTGACAGAAATAAAGTCACAGAAAAAAAGTCACAAAAATCTTTTCAGAAATATTTTTAATTATTTGTTGAAAATTATAAAATTTTGTATGTTTATTGTTGTGGGTTGTGTTTTTTGATAGCATGTATTATTTATAGACTTTAAAAGCATTAGGCCTATGGTTCAAAACATTTGTAAGTAAAATACTCTAAGATAATTTACACAACAATCTCAACTTTTGTTAGTATTTAGTTATTAAAGAAATTTAGCCACTTCATTATGTTTTGCAGTAGGGTATTCTCTGGTTGGCCTTTCCTCAGTCGGCCTTGTCTGAACATATTGTGTGTTGTGGACCTTTTGCGGCAATGACAGCCTTTGAGGCTTGTCGGCTTTCTGTTTTGATCATATACTTTGTTATGTAATGAGCGTGATAAACGTGGGCAGTAAAGGTGGTCGAACTAATCATAACTATTGTTGCGATGAGTTGAGGGCAGCAAGTCAGATGAACTTACCATTTCACTGTAATTTAATGTTAGTATTTTAAAAAACACAATGAAAACCGAGGACGCTGGAACATTCTATAGAATGCTAACAATATTATGTTTTACATAATTACAATCTACATACTTCATACTAAATATTTTAGATGAATTATAACAATTACCATGCGTATACAACCTACACACATTATATTACATTTAATTAGGGATCCTAAGTTAATTTGCACTCTCTGAATATAAAATTCATAAAAGTATTAACAAATTTCAATCCTATTTGTGACTTTTTTTCCTGTGACTTTTTTTCTGTTTTTTTTTTTCTGTGATTTCTTTTCCTGTGACTTTTTTTCCTACAATCGCTGCTGTAGGTCCATAGCCTATTAATTTATTATGAGTCCTATGCTATTGCCCTTGTGTATTTTTTTGAAACTAAAAACCAGAGAAAACTTTTAGGACTAATAATGAACACGTGATCTAGATTAGATTAGAATTTGATTAGATACGTCTTGAAATTGGAATCTAGGGCCTATTTTTAAATTTTATTTAGCTTTTAGGCCCAAGGGCCTAGCTAATAGATCTAGTAGATTCTAGGTAAATGGTCAGATAGATTCTAGAATCTGGATAATCTAGATCTAGAACTTTTGTATTGAGTATTGTTACTTGTTAGGAATACATTATCATTGGGGCGGCCTACTATTTGTGATTTGGGCCATAATAATTTAGCGTGTATTACGGCATCGTAATTTCTAAGGGCAACCATTTTGGAAATGGCGCTGACTTCCCTTTTCGCTTTTTGTCCCAGGCTTCCGTCACCGCCGCGCGTGAGTCTAAAAATAGACTAACGGCTTGTTCCAACCGGCATTTCGTTGACGCTCTTTGCCTTTCGGGTTTACTTGACATATTGGAAAATTTTTTGGCGGACGATATTTGTTAATTTAGTTTTTCTTTCTTCGGAATATTGCTGTCAAAAATAGAGGTAATTTCATCACTTTTTTTCTATTTGAATTAGATTCCAGTTCTTTTTAAAATTTTGGTAGTTCGACAGAGTTTTGCAAATTTTCTTTAAATTAAGTCTGAAAACGGCTAATTTCCCACCAACAAGTCGTTTAAATGTACCTGCAAAGTCTGAATCGATAGCTTTGTAGCCGCCATTATTTTAAAAGATTTTAAAAATATTGTATATTTAATAAGTTTTTTAAAAATAGCATTATTAAAAAAAAACTATTTTACGAAAAAAAGTAATTAGGTTTAATAGTGTCATTAGGTAGATTTAGATTCTCTAGATCTAGCTAGACTAGACCTAGAATCTAGATCATCATCTACTCTAGAAATCTAAATCCAGATCTAGAGATTCTATCATTCTAGTCTAGATCTAGATCTAGAGTCTAGTCTAGATTCTTAGAATTAGTTCTAGAGTCTAGATCTAGAATCTAGATTAGATCCAGATGATCGTCAAGCTAGACTCTAGACTAGATCACTAGGAGAGGCTAGATCACTAGATCTAGAAGATCTAGATCTAGATCTAGAATCTATTTAATATTATGAAACCTAGAATCTCTAGATTTAATAATAGATCTAGATTCTAGATGATGTAGATTCTTTATTCTATACATATTCTATAGTATAGTACAATTAAGTATAAGCCACTATAAGCCTAATCTAAATTATTTTAGAAGATCTAGATTATTCTAGATCTCTATTAAAAAATTAATCTAATTTTCTAGATATAGACTCTAGAATCTCTAATCTACTTTTTTTTTTTTCAGTCTGTGGTCTTGCAGCTCTTTGATAGAAATCTGAGTGAGAAATCATTCAGCCATCGGAATCACAGTTAGATCTTTCTGATAAGTGACAGTACTTAAAGTGATCATAATTATTAATTATTTACCTAATTATTAATTATAGACTACTTTTAATTATAGATCTACCTATTTAGTGTTAAGTAATTAAATCTAGATCTAGTTCTAACTTACCTCTTCTCTAAACAATAGTAACTTTTTACTAGACTCACAATTTTAAAAACAAATGGTTTTTTTTTGTGTGAAATAAACCTAGTAGGCCTAGTCTATTTATTTTAAAATAAACCTTATGCCTAGATATCTATATCTAAATTTTCCAAATGCATTTTCAGAAGTTCGAATGAGGAGATGGAGATGGCTGGGCCATGTCCTACGCATGAGCAAAAGATGACTCCCCCAACATGGCACTGGAAAACGAAAGAGGGGAAGACCACTGGGAACATGGAGGAGAGAGATGGAAGAAGAAGTGCAAGCTGCTGGCAAGACTTGGCATGAACTAAAGTGGCTCGCCCAGGACAGAGTGGAATGGCAGGGATTTGTTGCTGCCCTATACTCCACAGGGAGTGATGAGGATTAAGTAAGTAATTTGTAATAGACTACTAATGTAACAGAATTTTTTTCTAACACTAATTGTTTATTTTAGTATACTAAGTCATGACTTGATTCATCAACTTACAGCTATAAAATACAGTTGCACAGAACTTCCTTTATAATTCATATTTTTCTACAATAAGTAAACTAAGAAAAGATACTAAATCATTGCAGAGAAAGCAGACACAGATCCAGTGTTGGAAGAGGAAGTATTTTACATAAAAGAAAAAAAAACAACAGATGTCAAAGCAGGTATTGGCTGGTGCAGAAACAGCATGAAAGGGTAAGTTATTGATGATTTCAAACATAAAATATGCTAAATTGCAGGTTAGGTTTCAAAGAACAACTGGACATCTTCAGCAAGAGAATTGAGAACCAAGATTGATAGTGTTAAATGGGAGATGGATTTGCTGACAATGACAGAGTATTGAAGGAGATAGATGATGCTTTAAGAGGAGAAAGGGTCAAGATCTCAGTAAAGAATGACATTGTTCATGCAGAGAATCTCAAACTGATTGAGGAGTTTGACAGGGTCATCAACACAAACCAGTTACAGCACAAAATAGACACAGACATTCAATCTCGAATAAAGCAGATGAAGAAAAAGTTGGAAGCTATGGAACGCAGAGATACTGAAAATTCCATCTATGATGTGTTGTCTGGATCGAATGTCTCAGTAAACCATCCCCTATTTCGTGGTGTTGACAGAAGCGGAAACCCTCTTTGTCAAGAATTGTGGGTGGTAAAGACCTGGTTGGTGTCCAGCTGACTGACAAGTGGGAGCTAGATGATCAGAAAGTGCATCGCTATTATGTGAGGATTATTAACAGAGTACTAGCTAAAAAGAACAACTCTGTTGTCTACACTGTAGGCTACTGGGCACTGGATGAGGATGAAGCTGAGGACTTTTGCCTACCTGCTGAGTCACTAATAGCTGACTAGATTAGTAGTGATCTCTGCTTTACATCCTAATCTGCTGTTAATCCTTGGACAGCATGATTATTAAAAATTTGAGCTTTAAAAAATAATTAATGTTTCATTTTAAATTTGCTTTGTTCCTTTGTTATATATTTTTATGTTTACAGTTACATGCAATGATTGCAATATTTATGTCTTTACAATATGTATATAATTTCTATTTTTTCAAAAGTGCGCTAAATTTTTTGTTAAAAAATAAAGGTTGGTATGTAATGACATGGTATTATGTTTTTAATCTTTTTTTTTATATTTTACTTATGGTATTCTAATTTGATACACAGTATAGTGTAAACAAATCAAATAACTTTTATTTTTCTTTGCAGATTTTTTTATCTTTCCTGGACTGATGACTTTCATTCAACCTGATCATTTTTTAATTTGCATCAACTAAAACATGTTATATAAATCACTTTGTTGTACTCACACCTTAAACCCATTATTACTTTGTACTTTTCATTGATAATTGAAATTTATATAATTGCATCTAAATCTAATAAATAAATATTTTTTGGAAAGCAAACCATTTTGGTTCTTTTTATTTTTATCTTTTGTTTTAATTTGAAACCAGGTCTTGTATAAGAAATTATACTGGTGGATCTGTCAGAGTAACACCATGTTTGCACTTACCACATGAATACTATACATGTCTAGAAAAAAACAACTTGCAATGAGTAAGCCTTCATATACATGTTCTGATAAAATAAGCTTAAGCTGAAGTTTTTTCTCTAGACTTGCGCAATTCACAGTGCAACAACAATTATTGGAAGTAAGCAGTCAATAAATAAATATATTTATTAGACACCAAATTACATATTAAATATTTAGAATGAATAAATAATCATAGAGAGAGATAATGGTTCCATTAATTAGTATCACTAGCCTAACTGATGAATTTTTATAACTTACTATAATGTGTTCAAGCAAGGTTAATAATATTGATAATCTATAGGCCTAACTATAAGAAGCAGCTGAATACCTTTGTAGAGGGCCTATATAAACTATATTATAACATATTCACTATTTTAGACAATGGTATTGGTATGAAATTGTTGGTCATGTAGGGCCTTGGCTTACACAAATGTTAAAATCTAATAATAAAAAAAATATTTTGCTACTAGTCTACTACATGGTGGTTGTAATTCAAGTTTTCAGTAGGCCTATGCCTAATAATTTATTCAATTATTAATAGGCCTAGTTGTGTATAGTAAATATAATTTTGATAAGTCTAACTCATAATAAAATACTACATTAACAATTTATATTAAAATGACGAAAAGTCCGAAAATATAATTTGACGCGTATGACGTCATCAAGTTGTGTACTACCAATATCGGAGACACTTTTTTTTTTAATGTAAGAGGAAAAATAATGGTGGCAGGTTAATCCAAATTTTTTATAAACACAAAAATTTTAAAATCGAAATAGGCTAAATAAACTTTTGCTAGACACACACAGAGTATAAAAAGTAGTTTCAGTAAAAAATTACGCGTCGATCGGTATCTTTTCCTCCCGAAAATAACGAATTTTCAATTTTCGAAATACACGCTAATAATATTCTATTTTATTTATTTTACTTAGCCTACTACTATAGATATTTAATATTAATAGGCCTAGGCCCTAATTAATTAGGCCTAAATCTAGATCTAGAATATAATATCGATAAGGATTAGTCCCTGGTGAGGTTTTTTTTTTTACTGTTTTGTGGGTAATCTCACGGTAGCGTCAGTTGACACTAGTCCTAGTTGACAGGATTATCCTGGAAATGAGCATGTTAGTTTGGGCCTACCCCCTACAGTGATTATGAGTTCGAAAATTCAACAAACATTACCGGATGATTTCCGATCTAAATCTAGATCTAGGTGTCTGCTAGATCTAGTCTTGACTAGAGCTGTATATTTTACATTTTAGTTTTTACTAAAAATATTTTAGGTCTTTTGTAGCGAAATCTACAGTAGGCCTAAAACAGCCATTTTGTTTCAGAATTTTAAAAAGTTGGAGATTCTCTTCCAATATTTTAAATGTAAAGGGAGATCACTCTTAAAAATTACGAGATCTAAATTCTAAATTCTTTAGCATAGCATACGTAAATTATTATTATTATTAGGCCCCTAATATTAAATAATTTTAAATGTCTACGGTAATCTATCGTTTTAGGTACGTAAAATCGGCCTAGACAGGTAATGTGAAAAAAGGTGACTTGTTTTAGGCCTACATTTTAGTAATTTACTAATTAGAGTTTATTAATTAGAGGCCTACTATTTCACATTGAGACATTTTTAGTAAGTAGGATTTAATGTTTTGAAAATTACTGACAAGGCCTAAAAATGTTTCAAAAATTTCATTAATCTAGATCTAGATCTCTACCTGTTTTTAAACAATTGTATTAAAACTCTTTCAGTAAAATATAAACACTAGCGATGTTTGGTAATCTATCGTTTTAGGTACATACAATCGCCCGCGGCTAGTAATGTACGAAAAAGTTACCTCATTTTCAAGGCTTTAATAGAAGTATATTGTGATATATTTGTGTCAAATATTATAGATAAATGAATAATAAACCTAAATCAATGGCTATATATAATAATATATATCAATATAGGCAAGAAATTAACTTTAAACAGCAGTGTTTGTGAGCAGGATTTGCTATATAAAAAGCGGCCATCTGTAAGTTAGAGTGGTTTCCCCTGAATCTTGCATTATAAGTTTGCAATTAAAAAAAATAAACAAGATGGCTGCTATAGTAAATGAGCATGGTTACATCTGTTGGAAACAGCGCTAGTCTTTATTTATTACTGAAAAGTTTTAATTCAGTTGTTTAAAAACAGGTACATAAATGAAACAATGAAACATTTTTGTATTTTTCAAAATATAAATCCTCCTCAAAATGTGAAAAAATTATTAAAATTTAAGGAGTCACCTGTTTTTCACACTACTAGTAGTGGGCGATTTTACGTACCTAAAAAGATAGATTACCTGCAACCAAGCTCATTTAGTGTAGCAGCCATCTTGTTTACGTTTTTTTTTGTAAACTTATAGTTAGAGATTCAGGGTTAACCACTCTAACTTACAGATGGTCACTTTTTATATAGCTAATCTTGCTCGCAAATACTGCTGTTTAAAGTTAATTTCTGGCCTATATTGAATTGATATATTTAGCCATTGGTTTTGGTTTATTATTCAGTTATGTATTATATTTGATACAAATATATCACAATATACTTCTATTAAAGCCTTAACAATGAGGCAATGTTTTCGCACATTACTAGCCTCAGTCGATTTTACGCAACTAAAACAATAGATTACCAATTTGTGATATATTTGTGTCAAATATTATAGATAACTGAATAATCATTAATGGAATAATAATAATAGCCATCGGTACCCTTAACACGTGATTTATAGGCCTATATTTTTAAAAATGTTATACTTATTTGAGAAAAGTATTTTATAAAATGGTTCAGTACTGATCTCATAACCTCGAAAAATATGTGATGGACAGAGAGAGAGAGGGGTGTGCTGTGCTTGTATATATTTGGATTTAGGCGTTATGTTTTTTTTTGGCTCCTTTTTTTTAAATATTTAGTCTACAAGAATAAGCCTAGGTAATTGAATTTTAATATAACTCACCATGCAAGTCAAAATTTAATACAAATGATCTAGATTTTTGCTATTTTACAATTATATTAATTTTAGGCCTACTCTTTAGTATGGTCTTGTTTTATTGAGGCATTTAAATCATGTATTTTCATTTTTCTTGCAGTTTTTATTTCTTTATGATCTATGCAGAACAGGATGGAAGCTAATGGTCAATCTTTTCAAAGTGCTCTTGTGGTCAAACTAGAATTAACTGATGAGGTTAAATCAATTAATGATATGCGATCAGACAAACTTGAACACATGGAACCAAATGAGTCAACATTGTTTTCAAATTCTGAAGATATGAAAGCAAATGTTGGCATGTCATCCTCAGTATTTGATGATATCAAACAAGAGGTGTTAACCACAACTTCATTTATTGAGGATGAGCTCAATATTTCTTGTGATTCAACTGCTTTCAGTTTCATTGACAGTTTTACAACATTTAAATCAGAACTTAATAATGAATTAAAAGAACTCATGTTTCTGCATACAGAATTCATGGGTGATGTTCCAACAAACGATCAGATAATTGGAAGGGAACTGAAGACATACAAGTGTGATATGTGCTGCCAAACATTTTCTTACATGGTTCATATTACACATCATCTAAAAATTCACATGAGAGATGCCCATCATCAAAAAAGAAATCCTACTAAACAATGTAAGAAACATAACTCAGAATACATATGTCTACTCAATAAGCCTGATGGTTCTCTTTATAATAAAGTTCAATCTGTTGATAATCCTTACAAATGTGATATTTGTCATAAACAGTTTCTTAAAAAGACTAATTTATCTGCTCATAAATATATTCATTCTGGACTTAAGCCATATGAATGTGATGTTTGTCATAAGAAGTACAATAATAGTTCATATTTATCTCATCATAAAATAATTCATTCAGGACTTAAGCCATATGAATGTGATGTTTGTCATAAGAAGTACAATAATAGTTCATATTTATCTTATCATAAAATAATTCATTCTATATTAAAGCCATATGAATGTGATGTCTGTTATAAGAAGTTTCATAGAAATTGTGATCTGAATAAGCATAGGAATTCTCATTCTAAGCCATTTGCATGTGATGTTTGTCATAAAAAGTTTGGGAAGCATTGTCATTTAGCTAGACATAAAAATATTCATTGTATACTTAGGCCATATGAATGTGATGTTTGTCATAAAAAGTACAATAATAGTTCAGATTTATCTCATCATAAAATAATTCATTCTGGACTTAAGCCATATGAATGTGATGTTTGTCATAAGAAGTACAATAATAGTGCATATTTATCTCATCATAAAATAATTCATTCTATATTAAAGCCATATGAATGTGATGTCTGTTATAAGAAGTTTCATAGAAATTGTGATCTGAATAAGCATAGGAATTCTCATTCAAAGCCATTTGCTTGTGATGTTTGTCATAAAAAGTATGGGAAGCATTGTCATTTAGCTAGACATAAAAATATTCATTGTGGACTTAAGCCTTATGAATGTGATGTTTGTAATAAAACATTTGGTCAAAAGTATAATTTATCTGTACATAAAAAAATTCATTCTCATGAAAAGCCATATGATTTTTCTTAGAAATTGTGAACTTACTAAGCATGTAAATACTCATTCTAGACCATTTTAATGTGATGTTTGTAGAGGTTTAGTAAGAACGGTCTTTTATGCAAACAAAAAAGTATTTATTCTGGTAACAAACCACATGAATGTGATGTTTTAAAAAAAAACATTAGAAAAGGCATCTGAATCATCACAAAAATATTCATTTTAGACCATGTTAATGTGATGTTTGTCACAAAAAGTTTGGTAGGGAGCTTTATTTACCTAACCATAGTTTTAGCCATAAAAAGTTAGCTCAGAACTTGTTATTATTCAGCCCTAAAATTATTCATTCTGAAAATAAGCTAGATGAATGTGATGTTTATCATAATAAGTGTCATTATTGATTGTATCAGTTTGTGTTTCAAAACAAACAGGCTCTTACTGATACTGTTGAAAAAGTTCATTCAAGATATACGTAGACGCTGGTTTTTTTTTTAAAGAAACAACATGGTTGAGATGATTATGATTATTTTTAGCATGATAAATTAAAGGATTATGTAAGAGTCTAGCATTGCTGAACAGGTGACGACTATGTACGTCATTTGACACAGGGATAAGAATCCTAGGATATAAGATTTACATGCTAGAGTTGGTGAAAATTAGCTGATAATAAATTAAATTATATAATTAAATTAATTAAAAAGTTTTCCTTATTTTATTGAATTGAAAACATATACAAGTAAAAGTTTGACTAAAAATTTATATTAAAAATGCTTGTCCATGCTATTTTAGATTAGGTGTTTTCATTATTGATGTGTTGAATGCTTTTCAACATTGATACAAAACAATTAAAGTTTAAATACTAAACACATTATTTTTAGTTACTTGATGCATTTATACTTTAAAAATTATTTAAAGTAGATCTAAGAAAAGAAACATTTTTAACTAGAATGTCTTTCATTTTTCTTTAAGGAAATTTTATATAGGAGGGTTTCCAGAAAAAAGCCTCCGAAATCCACAAGATTTGAGTAAAATAAAGTGTTTAAAGTATGATTGAAAATCTTTGCAAAAGAAATTAGATCAATTGTTTTAATAATAGCTTTTTTGTACTTTTGTTGTTTAAGCTGTCTAAAACTGTTTTTTTTTAAAATTACCAGTTTGTAAATTTCTTATGTTTTTATGATATAATTCATATCATTCCTTTTTTGTTATATTTAATTAAAAATGTTCATTTTGTAAACAATGGTGTATGACTTTATTTTTATTTTTTTAATGTAAATGCAAATTTCTATACACTGAAAATATTTCAATCTATATCTACATAAATTGCTTAACATAGCCATGAAAAAAATAAGACACATTTTAGATAACAGGTCCTAGATCATTACATTATAGTCTCTTCAACAAGCACATCTACACGCTGAAGTGTTATCAACTTAAAGTGATTTGGATTTGAATGATTGATGACCATTAAAGACTTGTTAATTCATATCTAAATAGAAAGCCCCTCTTTTTTTTACGTAAGGGTATTTAGACAATGATATAAATAAAATATATTATATAGCCTTTGATGATTCTAGATCAGTTACATTTTTTGTGATACATAAAAAAACTGCATCTTTAGATAATATAAGAACATACAGATAATACTAATACACATATTTTTGTAATGTGCTTGGCCGTCTGTATTGAAAACTTAAAAGATCTTTAAGTGTAATAATTTTTATTGTGACCTGGACAGTACAGTGGGTATATAATAACATTAGAAGGGATTAGCAGGACTTCACTGCAGGTCGGTGTGACCCATATAGGTGCCACAGGTATCAAATTACTGACCGATATTTGATTAAGATTGTTCGTTTCTTAAAGACTAGTATTTGACATCATTTTTAAAACATTTCAATTTAAGGTTTCAGGATTCAATTTATTGTCACATATGTGGAACTGGTTGGCTTATTTTTATTTACTAGATGGCCCACATTCTTCAAATATTGTGTTTTGTCCAGTTTGAATTATGGTCGTGTAGGAATTCAGCGTTTGAGTAAGCTTTCGGAATTTTAATTTTTAAACTGAAAAAAGGCATGTGAAGTAAAATTCATCTGTTTTATTTACCTCGGCATGCTAAGTGATAGAGTGGTCAACACTATAAATTATAATTTTTATAATATATTTATAAATAAATTTTTAGCCAGGGCCGTAGACAACTTGTTGGGTTCTTCTTCTTCTTAATTCTTTGTTCTTAAATTTTTAGTGTTGGAACACAACTGGTTTCATTGAGGCCATTGACTTCGATTTCAGCCTGCTTTGCTTTTTGGATTTGCTTCCATAGCCTTTGCCCAACAAAGAACAAACTACAAGGCAGCAGTTGTTTGATTTTGGAGTCCTCTCCCCTAGAAGAGTGGCTGTCCCCAGCCTCATCTGCCTGAGGATTCGAACTCGAGCCTTTTCGGTTTAGCAACCATGAGCTTTACAGACTCGACTACGCCGACTCCGGTTGTTGGGTTAATAGATTGGAGAGTGTAGAAAAAAGCTAAAGACACATACGTTATATACATTATTTTAAAAAAAAAAGCTTTGCAGTGTTAAAATAATTCACAAAAAATATTTGTTAACTAAATAAACAATACATTTTAACTATAGTGTTTTGTTTAAATAAACTTTTTCATTTGAAAATTTGAGAAAAGTTAAAAAAAATTCCCGACGTTTTTTACTTTTGTATGACCACCATTACCAATTTCATGTTCGTTGTTGTTTATCATGATAAGTTAATTTAACAAATAGAAATAAAATCAGCCTCTTCTCTTAATGAATTGATGTAATTGTAAAACTATTGTATAATCAGCTACTGAATTTAAGTATTAAATTACTTTTTTTTAACAGTAAACAATTCTAGAAATAACGATTTATACTTTTCGTTTAAAAAAACGTAAACGTAGAAATTGCTGGAACATCCAATACAGACCATGGTCGATAGACAAATCGTGACGAAATCCTGCTGAATATAATTCTTATCTAGCTCATCAGCCAGCAACGTGTAGGTCAGAAAAAAGGTGAAGTTGACCACCAAGTAGATTGTTGTGATCGTCATGAGCGTTCGCGTCGTGCGGTGGGATCCTGCGCCTTTGTTGGCTGACATATTCCTCCGTTTCCTGGTCGTAAGTTTAACTTTAATGCCGATTAACACCGATCCGATCAGGACGACAATCATGGGGACAATACTGCTCATGTAATTGAATATGTAGCCTTTAAAGAATGAAATCATTTCCCAGTTTGATGTACAAAACTCGGTAACTTCCATTGTTGCTGTTCCTGATACGTAATGAAAAGAAGCGCATGCACTGAAAAATACATTGCACGGTACCCAAAATGCATAAGCGATAATAACTACTGTTTTAGCCTTTTTGGGGGTCATTATTTGTTTAAATTTTAGTGGAAAATATACCGCTAAAACCCGTTCAACTGAAATTATAGGCGGTAGAGTCACGGATACGTACGACCCCCACATGATAAAGAAGATCATGATTCTGTCAAGGGTATAAACGAATACAGCTACATGATATGAATAATGCCAGCCTGTATACTTGTTTGTGAAATCTTCAGCTATGGTAAACGAAATCAAGTTCGTCAGGTAGATTGTACTGAACAGAGTCATTGAGTCTGCGATTGTTAAAGACATGAGGAATATGGTTGAAGATTTGTGGAGTCCGTCCTTCACCAAGACAGCAAGGCCGAACATGTTGGATATCAGGCCTACAATACCTATGGTAGGGTTTACGATGAACAACAAAGCAACGTGTACCTGGGCCATGACTTTGAACGAGGCACTCATGTATTCTGTTGATGACGTGTTAGCTGTGATTTCCGCCGTTGGTTGTGTCACATACATTGTCAGGTCATTAACTGTCGATAACTTTACTTTTTTAAAAAAATGGGTATAATGCTCAGAGTCGGGTTAGACCATTACGTTCTCAGTTTGTTTTTCTTGATCTAGGTTTACTCTAAAGTCTAAAGAACAGAAAATCGTCCGAATGAAGATTCTAAAACATGATCCATCTCATGCTGAAAAAAAAATGTTTTAATTTTAAAAAAAATTGTAAATGATATAAAATCGAAGAAATACCGATGAGGCAACAAACAAAATAAATACATATGACAAAGTATTCTGGCAAGATTGGCGATAAAGTAAGATTTTAAAAAAAAGTAAGTTTATCAATGAATAGTAAATACAAGTAATAATTTATTTGTTTTTAGAAAAAAATATCAATATATTGACAATGAAAAGAAAATGTATAAAATGATGATTACCTATTGATTTTTAAAATTACTAACAGGCGTATTTTTACGTGTTGCTGCAATCTTAGAAGATCAATGACACTAGTTATTGGATTTAAGGATGGCATCAATTAATGACGTCACTACTTCAGCCTACAGTCTTAGCGTAATGTTTTTCAATACATTGATTGATATAACACCGTTATTTTAATACATATAAAGAAAAGTTTGAACCGCTACATTATGTATTGAATACCTTAAACAAAATCGTAAAAGCGACTGAGGCGTTTTATACATTGTGATTAAAAAATCTGTGCATTTTTTTTAAAGATATTAGAAAATTATTTGCTTTTTTCATTTTGTGTAAATGTAAAAAGCTATTATTAAAAAAAAAGTTTTTAAAACTAGTTTAAAAACATACTTTAAATTTTAAATAGAATAAAAATCGCATTGCTAATAATCTTATTTTAATAAATACAAAGAAAAGTTTGGACTGCTACAGTATGTATTGAATACCTAAAACAAAATTGTATAAGCGACTGAGGTGTGTTATACATTGTGAATAAAAAAGCTGTGCATTTTTTTTTAAGATATTAGAAAAGTATTTTCTTTTATCTTTTTTTTGTGTAAATGTAAAAGCTATTATTAAAAAAAGTTTTTAAAAACTAGTTTAAAAACATACTTTAAATTTTTAAATAGAATAAAAATCGCATTGCTAATAATCTGCTAAAAACAAATCAACTCACACAATCTGTGTATACTAGTTTAGATAGTTAATATTTTATAGTTGAATCTTAAATTGATTTAAAAAATTAAACAGTTAATGAAGTCAAATTGTATGTCACATGGGTATGTAATCAGTTCCTGACCTACGTGTCCAGTTAGAAAGAACACGGCCTAGCTAAAGTTGTCGAAATTCCGGTCGCAAGTTTCGACTCAAGACTGTAATTTTTTTAAAATAAGTTAAAAGACGAAGTCAAAAGAAATTCAGCACGAAGAACCGATTTCGATAAAATGCTGTAATATACTTAAGCTCACAAAGTAAACCGACAAAGTTTTGAAAAAAAACAGCTTTGTGTATGTCTCTCAGATTTAATGACAACTACCTAATACTACTGTAAGTTTTATTGCACTTAGCGGCACTACTATAGTCATTTTCTAACGACTGAGAAAATCGAAAATTCAATAGTTGTGTACTACGCACGCATGAGCTTCTCCTACCATTAGCAATAGTATCTATGATTCACTGAGATGTATTTTCTTGCAGCATTTGTTAGCATTTGTACTCTCTGAAAATGACCCGGCCCGTATTTATATTTTATACAGATTAAATTTTTAAGCCTATATGTTTTCTGGAAGGTTTTTCAAATATTAAAATAAATATTGATGAACAAATTGGTTGCTCAATATAATTTTCAGTCACGAGATAATAATAAATTTATTAATTCAAATAAGACATTCAGCTGAGACGTTCGTAATAAAATCGTTTAATTTCTCACCTTTTTACTTTTGATTAGTTCAGAACGAGTTGGAAGTTAAATGTTGTGGCAATTTGCCTAAGGCAACAAGATGCACAAGAAAATACACGTCGTTAATAAAATAGCACTGCCTTTAATTATTTAATTTGATTTCAGGTCAACCCATTTATAATTAGATCACGTGATGATCATGTACCTAGGGCCGATCGGCACGTGCTGGCATTAGATAAAACCGAAATTATAATTTAAAGGTTGATCATGTACTTCATCGAGAGGGTTTATTTCCCCAGGATACAACTCTATCGTTTGGATTTAACGTTTGATAATTTTTTAACATATCGATGTGTTTTAAAATCGATGGACGGTTATGTGTTATATAAACGTGTAG